CAAAGTTGGCAAATGCTAACATCTAACATATGCACAGATGCCATCTTCTTCCAGAGATGGCTAAACTAGACTTTGACTTGAAAACTTTGTCTTAACTTTAATCTTCTTGGTTTTTGGAGTCAATGTGAAAGTCCCAGGCCGCTACAATAACAAAAAATAGGAATTGATTGATGCAGAATTTAAAAAAAAAATCAGAACAACATAAAACACTGACATGAGGCACACACGTCAATATCTGAATCTTTGTGCAGGACATTCATACTGCCAAGAGAAGGCAATTAGAGTTTCATGAGTGACTGAGTGTTTTGGAAACACCTACAGTGCATCCAAATTTGGCTAAAAAGGTTTTTGTGATGCAGTGTCTGAAACCAAACAAAGGGTGGTGTAAAAACAACACCAGGTCCCGTAGAGAGGGTTGGATTGCTCTCATTTAGCCATTCATACTCCTTCCTCAGGGAGCACTCCACTTGTTAATATGAAGACAATAACTCAGAGTAAACTATTGATCACAGGCTGAGGTCCAGACCAGGTGATTGTGCATCTGTATCAGTATTGATTCATGCTGATGCTGACATTATTTAGTCTTTATTCATATTCGGCCTCATATAACTGCAGCGTGTAACAAAGAATCCAGACACTGCCACTAAAGCTTTCAGCAACACAACAGGAGTTCGAAGTTCTTACACTGCGAGCTTCTGTCTCCCTTTTTTTTTATCTCTCTCTCTCACACTCACACACACACACACACACACACACACATTGCCTTAATTGAGACAAACAGGCAAAGAGACTGGGGAGTCAAAGTGTTCTTGCACGTTTGTTTGTGCAAAGTGTGTTGTCTGCATATCTCTAGCTGTCTATCACTGTGAATGTGTCGGCTTTTGACAGACGACATAGCTAGGTCATGCTGGCTAAGCAGTGGGGAACAGAGCCAGAGCCTGTGGCCTTTATTTCAATTCTATACAAGGTAACACATAAAAACACCCACAGAGACTTTTTCTGAAGTTATAACAGAGTGTGGCAACATGGGGCGATTACAGGTGCCCATTCCATCTACATGTTTCTGTGTGTGTGTGTGTGTGTGTGTGTGTGTGTGCGCGCGCGTGTTTCTAAGTCTCAGCTTGGAGATGGAGGCGGCAGGGATCAGTCCTTGGGTTTTGACTGACAGTTAGAGAGGTGGGAGGAAGGATAATATGAGCCCACAGGGATGCCCAATCTGTAAAGCCCTATTTCTGGGGGACTTCCTGGATCCCGAAGGACCAATGAGCTGGCTCCCTCAACTGGTGGCCGAGCCCCTGGGCACAGCGGGGCCAATCAGCAGGGGGGCTAGAAGGCTGAGTGACACATAGATCTGCTAATTTACATCATTACCACAATGCATCCTGACAAATGAGCCCCCAGGGTGTGAGCCAATCACCTGGGAGAGTAATGCAATTAGGCGGGACCACAGCTGTCAATCTCACAGCCATGGGGGTCAGGTAGCGACGCCTGTGGCTAAAACACCCCTGCCTGCTGCCTGCCGTTCACACTTTTTTTTCCCCCCATGCACACACATACATTTATACACATATGGACGGAACACACGGAAGTGTAGCATGTATGCGTGTGTGTGTCGAGAGTGAAGGACTCTGCGGAGGCTGATTCTCCATCTCTCTCCTGTGGGTGGAGGTTAGGAGAGGGTGGGTGTGACTGCTTCAGGGACTCAGAGATTGACTTGTGTCCTCTGAGGAGTTACACCTGCTGTTAGTGTGTACATACTGGCATGCATTTGGGTGTCTGTGTTTGTGTGTGTTTACATTTGCCCCTATGTATTTGACCACAGGGGCACAGTGCTGTTTATGCTTAGAGTCGGAGTTCTGTGTGGGGACTTTGACAACAAATAGGGCGGAGCCTTTGTGCAGAATAGCCCTACATTTGAGCGACATGTAAGCAAGCTCTGATGATAATGAGGCTAATCTGAGTTTCATTAGGTTTAGTGATATCCTACCGGAGCACTCCAATGAGTCGATAAATTCTGCCCAGCATGCCTTTAATGTTTGAGTGTGTGTATGTGCATGTGTTTGTATGGCTTGGTCAATACTGCTGAGACTGGCAGACTGGCAGGCAGTGCTGGTGTTTCATCAGAGGCACAAAAAACACTTTAGCATACCCCTTCATAGTTTCGGTACCAAAAGAGAGGAAGTGCAAAAGATTTCATACAGAACATACATATGTGTACGTGTGTGGTTCAGGCCCTTCTTGAGACACTCTGAGAGTTAGTGGAGCTGTGTTTTGTGTCATCCCATTACATCACTAATGAGCCGCCCTCAGGAGGGAGGAGAGAGGAGAGAGGAGAGAGAGAAGGCAAGGCCAACAGAAAAAGACAAGATGAAGAAAAGAAGTACGAATGGGAGAGGAGAGGATGAGACGGGGGGAAGGGAGACAGACACCAGCTTGGGGACTTTTCCCTCTTCTCCCCTCCCTATCCTTATTCCTGACACCACTGAGTCTAATTGGACTAAAACTGTGATCTAATTAAATGTCCAATTAAAGTGGAGAGAGCAATGTGCCCACCAGCAAATCACAGTATAGGGACAGAATCAGCTGGAAAAAAACAAACATAAAAATCAATGGAAGCAATTGAAAATTGAGTAAGACGGAGTAAACAAAAAAACAGGAAAGAGGAAAAAAGGGAATAAAAAAGGGGAGCATTGAGAGATGAATTAGGGGTGCAGGCCAGGATTGTGTGTGCTGCATGTAGTTTGATTTTTCTTTTTTAAACTGTGCATTTCAAGGTGTTGTAAACTTATTGATGCATGTAACTTTTCATGTGTACAAAAAAAGCAGGCTTGACATACAGTCAAAAAGTGTCATTGTACTTGTAACATCTGACTATGTCAGAAGCACTGAATAAATCATAAATTCTGATGCTTGGACCTTTGGCAATTTTTTTCTTCTTTACACTCATTTCAAAAAAGCACATAGAACTGAATGATTCCTTTCTGCCTACGATGTTTTAGCTAGAAAGATTAATGGTAGAATCCATAGTCCTAATTATACAAGGGCCAATATTTGCAGGTGAAGGCTTCTCAAATGTAAATATAAGCTTGTTTTTCTTGACCTCATATCACCATTAATTAAAGAGTTTGGGCTTTTGGATGACACAGGCAATATTTGTTTTACTTGATACTGCCATTATTCACTGTCTCTTAATACTACACACCATGAAACAATGCTATACAGGCTAATGATTAATAACCTATTTCTATCTAGTGAACTCAGTTTACACTATAATCCTTTTAGAAACACATCAGGTATCTTTGCTTAATTTCTGCAAGAAACCTTAACAGTACACCTTATTGTGATATTTACTGATGAGTTAGGCTATATTTAAATTCTTCACCATCTATTTTTATCATTGAATTATTAGTTTTTTTCCTTTTTAATTGTATTTGAGATATACGACTTTGTCTTCTAAAATCAGATGAAATAGTGTTTTCTTATTACACCAGAGAAATGTGTTCCAGTTTTGATTTGCAGTACTGTGTACCACTACCAGGTATAATGCAATTAACACTGTTATGACAACTCAAAGAGTGATTTTTTTCATACTTCAACAGAAGCACCACATTCCTTTGAAAAAAGATTTTGAAAGGAATATGAGCTTACATTGTCTCTCCATCTCTGATATTCAGACAGAGACTGAGAAACCTCCCTCTCTCCATCCATCTGTGAGTTGCTTACACACTGTGAACCCCCTATGGACAGCTTTAGCTCATAAAATATGAATGCTGGGATTCAATTCAACTTTCCACCTTAATCTTCTTAACAATTAGGCTATTACAGCACACCAAATTAATTTAGTTACAAATAGTCTCAATGGTTATGACGCTAAAGAGAGAATTACAAACTTGTAGTACAGACTAATCTAAACAATAGATACATCCAGAAGGCAATACATTATCTCTTAAGATTTACAATCCTGAACTTTATTTGGATAGCAGCTCTGTGTGTGTTGGATTTTTACCATAGCTGCATTGAGGGGGACCCTTCAGCAGATGTTGCACAGTTCAGAGCATCCTTGCAGTGTGGTGTGGATCCACATCCAGGTCCCCTTCCTGTCCTGATCCTGGCTCCTGCTGGGGCAGAGAAAGAGGATCATTCACCTACTGAGACCAGCACACCTGTTCACACAAATAACTGCCAGCATAACACTGGTACCATAGTGAGTACAGGTAGAGAGAGAGGACGCCTCAGAATTACATTTTGTTTTAGTAAACCAATGAGTTTCACCTATCTGATGAGGAACAATCCTTAAATTAAGTTATAGTTCTTAGTTTTTGTTTGTAAGGATTGAGCAGCATATAATTCAATCCAGTTGAAAGATGATGTATTGGCATGATAAACAAACGTTTACATTGCCAAAACAAAAGTGGAGTTATACAATATCATAATTTAGTTTAACCTGGCTTAAGAAGTTAGAGGGATGTTTCCAGAGTTGTGCACCAGGGCATCTGCCAAGTTGAGTTTTGTGCTAAAAACAATCTAGCACATTGCTTTAAGGTTGAAATGGGTTTAACTGAGTATTGCAAAAAAAAAAAAGAGCTATAATGATGCAACTCCCCCCTGGTTAAGAGAAATCAGTTATTCTTTTGCGAAAGAAGTACAACAAACACACGTGTGACAGTGGATAAGATGAGGATAACATTAAGACAACTGCATTTCAAAAAGTGTCCTTCTTCCACGGTTTTTTATTTACCTTTTGCTTTCCTCTCTGGTGAAAATCTCTGGAAAGTTTTCTTCCCAGTGGTCCCGTTGAATCGCCACAGTTTGGGTAAAAAAAAAAAAACACTACAACTCCCATTACTGTTGTAAAAACCTGCAAATACCATGGTTGTAGTTTTCCCTCGTATTCCTAGACAGCCGTTTGACTATTCTGAAAACTACATTACCCGCGCTGAGCTGAAATAATTCCCGGAAGTGTGACTCTGCGTTTCCGTGGTAACTGAGAGATCGGTCCGCCGTCGGTTTCCTGCTGCACTGAGAACAGAGCGGCGGCGAGACAGACTGGGAAGCTTGAACATCACCATCAAAACCAACAGCACTGTACAATGAACCTGTTAGCAGTATCTCCTTCTCCTGATATCCGCGTCGTCACGGTCATACTGCTGGTAAGCATTTGTATTAAAGGTTTAGAAAAAAGGGAAGCAGGACCGAGTTAATGTTTGCATAAAGGCTCGTTAGCCTACCACTGGATAGTTAGCTGCTAGCTAGCCGCTGGCATGAGACGTGGCTTTTAAAGTGGCTTAGATCACTATCGAGCTCACTCTCTCCTGAAAGTGTGGTTATACATCATGTTCTTTGTCGAGGCACATCTCCTGCTTATACCAAACAAGTTCCTAAACTAAGTAATCCAACTGCAGTGTCCATTTAGCCGGCAGTGTAGTCTAATGTTAGCTGTAATAACTAACCATTAATTACTGTAATACATCTTTAATGCTTCACGAGATTCATGTTACTCGTTTAGCAAACTGTTCCTCATTATGTTTCTTTTAAAAAATATATTTAAAGTTGGACTCGTGATATAACTTTGTTTAGTAGCAGAGCAGCATCCAGTTAGCATATGTGCTACACTTAACTGAGTGCAGAGACACAAAATGGTTAGTTTAATTTATTGACTGTGTTTGTCTGCTTTGATTGGGTGGACTCCACGGTTTAAATGATCCGGATGAACGAGTTGTCGGGCTCTTTTTGAGGAACTGTAAGTGTCTCTGAATTATCTCTCGCCGGGTTGGTGAATTCCTCTGTTGTGGCTCATTCTTATTGGCTCACAACCCGGAAGTAGACCAAGCGGAGCAATATTGCTGCTGTGAGAGTTTGGGCCCTGTGAAGAAAACTTAAAAGACTTCTCTCCCTAAGCTGTAGGTCACCGTGTGTTTAGTAGTCTCACTCACTGCAGAAACGGTGACATTAAGAATGTCAGCCGTTTTACCCTATTGGTATATATATTTAAAAAAAGCAAGTTGTCAATTTCATTGTTGACATTGTTTAACTTTACAAGGGATATTTTCACTCCAGAAATAATCCAGCAACTTTAAACTATCATCTAATTGTTCATGTGCTTTAATTAAAAAGCTCTAAACTTTCACTGGTCACAGTTTCTCAAAAGTGAGGATACACTGCAGAACTATGTCTTACACACACACACACACACACACACACACACACACACACACACAGATGTTATACATATTTATGTGTGTATATGCATTTAAATGAGGAAAATAAAATAAAAAACACACTTAACTACAGCTAGTATAGTGAAACTAAAATTGACCTGATGGTTTGTATGTGACAAATCAAAAAGTACAGTTACATATTTTGGTTATCCAATTCCCTATAAAGATTGAGCAGTGTGCGCTTTGGCTCTTTGACACTGAAGTTGGAGTTTTCCTGGAGTATAACCATTACCCATATTTGTATTTCTGATTGTCATGCTTGCTGGGAGGATGACATGTTACATCCTGTTTGAATAGGATCTTGGGTAAGGCTGAGATCACAGCTTTAACCAAAAGTGAATTCACAGACTGGGACACCGATATTACGCTAATGCATAACCGATATGAATGTCTGAAGAGGTAATGACAAGGGAGCACTGTTGTAGAACTGCAGTCTGAAAAGAACTTGTCACCACTTCATGACTCCCTATAGTGCGGTTATCACATGACAGAGAGTAACAAGAATGGATTTTTTTTTTTTCAAGATTTATTTTTGGGCCTTTCTTGGAGAGATAGGACAGTGGATAGAGCTAGAAATCAGGAGAGAGAGTGGGGAATAACATGCAGGAAAGGAGCCACAGGCCGCATTCGAACCTGGGCCGCCGCTTTGAGGACTATAGCCCCATACATGGGGCGCGCGCACTAACCACTGCGCCACCAGTGCCCCAAGAATGGATATTTATTGGACAAAAAAGAAGACAGTAGGATTTCTTGCGGCAATGAAAATAAGTTAAGAGAAAATATGTTTTAAGAGATGCAAATTTTAAGTGAATAATCCTTCACTTGCAACTTTTTTGGGGCCTTTTATATTCTTTAGTAAAGCGGAGTTGCAATATATCAGTTATCAGAGAATTGCTGTTTGCTTATACGCGTCTCCTGTATATTCCACTACGATCCCACCTCTACTGTTTCCATTGTTTGTTTTTCCATTGTTTGTTTTTTGTGTTGAATAACTGGATATTTAAAACTCTTGAGCAGCTTGTGTAAGGTGTAACTTCTTGGAATTTCTTGGGGTTTTTAAATCTTTGCAATGTAGCGTTACAACATCTACAGCTCCAGGACCTTGCTTCTATCAGATAAGTTTTGAGAGAAAATGTCTGACAAAAAGAGGATGTTGGCAAACGTCTTTACAGTATGATTGTGAGTGTTGACTACATTATTTGCATAAAGGAGACTAAAAGAAAATATGCAAATTCTGCACATGCAAAAAGTACATTAGGTGCAGTACAGAGGTGCCAACATTAAGCATATCCACAGCTCTCTTTCTATCATTTGTTTGGTGTTAATTATTTATTTCTGACATGTTTGCAGGTATGTGAGCATACCACAAAAACAAAAAAAAAAGCATTGTTCCTTATCAAATTCAAAATACTAAGTAGTAAACACTCAACAGTTAATGAACAAACAGGAAATATTCAGGGAAACACGATAGCTTAACATTTCAAACTTTCACTGGCCTACATTTCACCGGGTGCCTGTTGAGGATGTACAACAACAGTGTAGTGCACACTTTCTAGGGATGTAAAGATTAATTGTAAAAACGTGATAAATAATGGATGCAAAGATGTCAAGATCCACATCGGTACTCTGAAAAATGAATCGCAATAATATTGTGAGCGTCAGCAGCTGTAGAGCAGAGGCGGTTGACAACTGCAGAGGTGAGAAAATAACAGACAAGACAAGAACTGTGTGCAGATATTGCAAGAAGACAGGGTACTACACAAATAGCGCAACCAACATGATGCAGCATATAATCGACACCACAATGAGATGCTCCAAACACCTTCCCTTGTTGCGAGAAATAAAAACATTACAAGGCCAAACCACACTGACAAGTGTAATTTGTCTTCAGTCTCATTTTGTAAAATATATCGTGAGAGAATTGTATTATGAACCCAGTATCGTGAGTTGAGTGAATTGTTACATCCCTAACATTTCTCCTTCATATTTTCTTAAATTCTGGACATCTGGAACATCTACTGAAATAATGTGCTGTGAAATTGTGTTGGGAATAATGAGAGAGTGTAATTGGCACGTTGCTCTGCAGGACAGAAAGATCAGAGGTTATATAGTTGGCTGTATATTTAGCCCAGTACCAGGAACAAGTTGCCGGTGAAATAGCCTGAGGCGGACACAATGGAGAGAATGTACATCGCTCAGGTTCTCAGGGAGACATTATGTGTTTCACTGGAGAGGTTGGAGAAGGTTAATGTTTAAAAGGACATCCTGGGTTTTCTACTGCTTAACCATTGTTAATCACAAACATTCATTGTATCCAGATCGAAATAAAAAGTATATAAATATGATAACTGTTACATCGTTCTTTTCCCTGTGTGTTTGTAGGCGATGGGCCTGTCTACTCCTGGGAAAGCAGAAATCACCAGTCTGGACTCGGGCAACATTGATGACATCCTAAGTAAGGCATTCATCTTCAAATGTATCTAAAAGTAATAGTTGGAGAGCTTTCAGGAAATACAGTAATATGCTAGCTGACCAGTACCACTCAATTTTGTTCATTCAAAATCCAGCTACAGCCAGAAGCTGTTGGGCCTAGCTTGGCTCAATTCCTTGTTTTTCCTTTCTAATCTTATTCTTGGTAATGAAGTAAATATTTTCCAAAATATAAAATCAAGCCTATAATTCTCATTCATTTCTTTATTGGGAGCTTATCTGAAGTCTCTTAATTTTCTACATGCTCAACAGAATTGCATCTGATACTCGTTAGATATGGTTGTTAAAACATTTTGATAAACTGTGAACAAAGCTGTCCAGATCTTGTCGGACCTTCCTGATCCTGTCATTAGCTCTGCCTTACACTAAACAAACATTTAACCAAAAAGGTGGTCTAATGAATGTATATGACCACGAGTTCAGTGGTTTCTCAATTCTTGCTTATAGACATGCTTTATTAGAGCTTTCTCCTTTTGATTCTTTTTTTCTTTTCGCTCAATGAATGGAAGTTGAGGGCTTACGTCTAATTAATTTGGCTGGCAAAACATACATCCCTGAAAGCATTCCGTTATGTATAGAGGCTTACATTTGTTTCCTGTTTGTGTGTGTTTCCTTTCAGATAATGCTGGGGTGTCTTTAGTGAATTTCTACGCTGACTGGTAAGTCTTTAGTTTCATCATAAAGCCATTAACTCCCCGCCCCCTTCAATAATATGATACGATTTAGCTCACCAACAGCTGTTTCATATGAATAGTGTTGTAATGATCATAAATTTCTCTCACTCTGGATTTTACTGATTTCTTTTAAATGATTTTCATTCTGAGCGTCTATTTTAATCTAATATATTCTGGGGTTGTCTTTTGAACGGCTGGATAATGGAGCTGGTAAAGTCACTTTACAACACTGTCAAATACTGCTAAATTGAGTCTGTTATACTTGATAAAAAATCTATTTAATTACCTTGGAAATTATGGAGAAGTATTTGGACCTCACCACCCCCCCCCCCCCCCCCCCCCGCCTCCCCTACAGGTGCAGGTTCAGTCAAATGCTCCATCCAATATTTGAGGAGGCGTCGAACATAGTAAGGGAAGAGTTTCCTAACACCAACCAGGTGGTGTTTGCTCGTGTTGACTGTGACCAACACTGTGAGTATTACTGAGCCATTTAAGCGATTACCAGTGTTCCTTTTCATTGACATGACTTGTGTAAATTGTCTTACTATCATTTATTGATTATGTTTTTGTTTCAACTGCAAGATTGTAAACACTCACAGAAGATTGTCACCAGTTATCAAGAACCTTTATTAATCTGAGAAACAAATACAGTGTTTTTTTTAACAAAAAGTTACGCAAAGACCAAGAATATAGTTATTTGAGAAAATGTTGGACATTAAAGCTATTAAATTATGAATCTGTAATCCATAATATTCTTAGTTTAAGTATCAGTACAGAGGATGGATGTTCTTTATGGTGATGTCATGCACCGCTTTAACACAACACATTCTATACGCAGAAAGAAAAAAAAAAGACACACACAACACACACTCCCTTAGTATATTTGATGCACATATGTACACATAGATGCCCAGCACACCAAAGCACAGACACATAAACGACCAGGCTCAGCCTTTTGAGATAAAGCGAATTAAAGAGAATTATTGATGACCTGCAAACTGTTTGAAGACTAATGACAAAACTGCTGCTTCCTGTGAAGACGGGAGGCTTAGAGACACCCCGCAGGGAGATTGACACCTGCCACATGCACACACTCACACACTCATTCTATGTGTGCAAGAGAGAATATTTACTCTTGGTGGGGGGCGGCTTTCATGTGGGAGATCAGAGCTCAGAGCTGACTGAAGGCAGTGTTTTGAGAGTGAGGTTTAACTGCCGACTCCGTCACAGCTCCGCTCCTCATCCACCCATCCCCATGTGTTTTTACTCCACTCCTTCCTCTTCATCAATTGATTTGTCCTTCTTTACTTAACTTTTTTCTCTGAACAGCCGACATAGCCCAGCGGTACCGCATCACCAAGTATCCGACACTGAAGTTGTTCCGCAATGGGATGATGATGAAGAGGGAGTACAGGGGTCAGAGGTCAGTGGCAGCCATTGCAGACTTCATCCGCCAACAGCAGGTGGACCCTGTGAAAGAGATACATTCATTGGAGGAGATTAATACTGTAGATGTAAGTTGAAACACACATAAATCAGTGCTGTATTTGTCATTATAAAATGAATGATGTCATTACTTTCCCTTTCCTTTGGTTTTGTATTCAACAGAGAAGTAAGAGAAATATCATAGCTTACTTTGAAACAAAGGACTCTGACAACTACCACACATATGAAAAAGTTGCCAACATCCTTCGTGATGACTGCACATTCCACGCCTCTTTTGGGTGAGATACAGCAACACATTATGGATCATTTGTTTTGTAAAATCATTCAAATGAAGCACATATGTGTTTGAAATTCTAATTAACTGGTTCAATTTACAGCCCTGTCTCTGAGCCTGAGCGCATCAATGGAGACAATGTTATCTACAGACCCATGGGGGACAGCGCCCCTGACATGATCTACCTCGGCTCCCTCACCAACTTCGACCTGACATATGCCTGGACGCAAGACAAGTGTGTGCCTCTGGTCAGAGAGATCACTTTTGAAAATGGAGAGGTTTGTCACTTGCTTCATTTATTTATTTCCGTTGCTGCCTTAGAAAGCGACACGTCAGAGGTGAAATGTATTGTTGCCTTTAATACCAAACGGATTGAAGAGGATAAAACCATAATAATGTAGACAGAGGAACATCAGGAAAAGAACAAGACTGGACTAAAGAAAGCCATGAAATATTAGTCGACGTAAAAACTTACGGCTATTCGGTATGCGAGAGGGCGCTGAAGGAAACCAATTTCTAGCTATGTGTGCTACAGCACTGGCTGGTGCTGGACAGTGAACGACTTAGAGAGAGTTCAGCAAACCCTAGCACCAATGAAACATGGCAAGAACAGCGCGATTTTCATCCAGTCCCTGAGTCCAGTTCAAGAGTTTGTTTTCTGCTTCACAAAACAATGTAACATGACACATGAGGGAAACAGGCTCTACTTTGTCCAAGACCTCTCTGCTGAGATGAGATTAGACCCATATGTCAACAATCAGAAAAGTGTTGGTCAAGAAGTTAACCTTTTATGGATTTCAACAAATCCCTGTTACCACTCTGCAGGCTGTGACACCAATAAGGCTTTGACAAGGCATATGAAGGGAACAAAACCTTCTTACTGAACGATCCTCATTTAGACCTGTATGTCTTTTTGGATCTGATGCAAAAGTTATTTGTGAGCACTGAGTCCCATATCCCACATTCTGATCATAATGATCAAAAGGATCATATCTGAAAAGTTCTCAACATAACTCATGAAAGTTGGTGGTTCAAAGCTCCTGCTCTAGGTCAAGCTGTAATCACTAATATCCCCTGCGTTCATAGCCCTACAATGGGCAGAGTAAGCCAACTGCTCAGTGTAGCTTCCCCAGATTGGACCTCAGTTACCCATGAAGCAGCAGTGGATGAGCTGACTCTTCCTGGTGTCAGACTCAGAGAACATGGGCTGTAGTAGCCCTAGAGCTAGCGCCATCTCCAGACAGAATCCTTCTAGTTGCTGTTATTTTAATGTTACTCTTTGTCGTCAAACTATGCCGTCTTTGATTCCAAACTAAAAATTCACGTCCTTGTCTCCTTCACTCTCTCTTGTCAATAATAAACCGTTCACTGAGTGCCTCCACAAGCCTGGAGCACTTCCATTGAATATTCAGCGTTCGTCTATTTGCAGTCGTCTGCCTGTTTTTCTTATTAGTCATTACGGCCTTAGCTGAGCGTTTGCACTTATCAGCCACCGTACTTAAGGGCTTTCAGGCCCTGACTCCTTTTATCTATGACACCATGTGTGTGTATTTTCCAGGAGCTGACTGAAGAGGGAATCCCATTCCTCATCTTGTTCCACATTAAGGAAGACTCAAACAGCTTAGAAAAGTTCCAACATGAAGTGGCTCGCCAGCTCATAGGAGAGAAAGGTGGGCATGTGTGTTCGTTGTCTTTTGTGACATGTTCATTTCAGTTGTTGTGAGCCAATCATCTGTGTACAGAATTTGTTTTTTGACAGTTGTGTCTCCTGTTTAGGGTCCATTAACTTCCTGCACGCGGACTGCGAGAAGTTCCGCCATCCTCTGCTCCACATACAGAAAACTCCCGCTGACTGTCCTGTCATCGCTATAGACTCCTTCAGACACATGTATGTCTTTCCTGACTTCCAAGACCTCGGGTAAGTGACAGATCTCACCTTTCTTTTTTTTTTAGAGAGAGAATTTAGATTTGCATGGGGATGCAATTCAGTACTTTAAAAATTAGATACACAATATTATCAATGTATATAACTGGAAACCTGTTTTAGGAAAAAGTGCAATGGCTGGAAATAGTTTAATACAAAAAAATAATATTAAAATACAAATGAAAATTCTGCACATGCACCTGTGATTAACAAATGAATCATCCGAGTGTCAAACCAGTGATATATATGTGGCATTCATTTGGGCATTTTTGAGCAATTATTACCTGATGCTGTATTTGAAATTCTTCATAACAAGCTCTCCTTAAATTAAGTTAATTTCATTACACACACACGCACCACACACACAATAACCCTCTGTGCACTGAACACCAGAGAAATGTCACACCTCCTAAAATCTGTGCTTTATGAATGGGCCAGGACACCAGAGCTAATGTGACATGATTTGGCACGTGCAATAAGTGCTAAACTAATCCAGTCTAATATAATGTAATCTTATTTATTCTGCCCCCAACCACTCTGCCTCCCCCAGTCCACAATCACAGTCTGATCAGATAGACAGACGCCCCAAGGACTGACCATCCCTCCTCAGCCTAATTACATCACATCACCGCTGCATGTGGCACACAGCTTGTAATTACATTAGTGCATTGGATGTTATATATATATTTATATATATATATACATACACACTGTGTGTGTGTGTGTGTGTGTGTGTGTGTGTGTGTGTGTGTGTGTGTTTTACTCTGACACATGGCGTTAGCTGTGACCAGGGACCAGCTCTGCCTGTGTGATATGACAACAGCTCATGACCTGTTGTTAACGAGCACACTTAACAGGACAGCGCTGATGTGGATTAATGCTGCTCTGTGACATGTCCACAGGGACTAATGACCTCTGCTGCTGCCTCCAGCTGTTGTGTCTTTTATCAGCTCTGACCTGCTCTGTAGTTCTAGCAGGTCTGTCTTTAAAGCTGAACTCGGTGTGGAGGAATGCCTTTTTCAAACTCACAGACAATGATGTTCATAAAAGAACCACTTGTGCAATCAGATGGGCTTTGAAGTGATAACTGTGAGGGGTTGTTGCATGAATTAGTTTCTCTATTCTCCAAACAGCTTCTTTTTTGGTACTTGAAGAATTAAGCGAAGATTTAATTATTGCTACTCTTTTGGATTTAAAAAATGATATAATCACTGTTATATAACATTTATTTAATACTTTAATGTTAGTATTGAACGTAGATATGAATAGCTTTTTTTTTTTTAAACCCTTTAAACCCTTTTTATCTCCACCTATCATTCCGACTATCCCTGCTGAAGTCAGTTGCCCAGTTCAGCCACCCCAGTCATAAAAGTCAGGCTCCATCCCTGCTCTGAAAACGGTACAAATCGGAGATCCCTTGATAACTCCGTTCCACCTCTGTGACATTCACAGTAAAGTCGAACAGGCCGTCTGAATGGGGCTTTTATAACTTCTAAGGCTGTTATGAGTTTTCTTTCTAAAAGCTAATTTGCACCAGCTGGATATGACCGCTGCTGTGTTACTCTTTGGTAACGGTTTTGTTGATAAGACTTTCTCAAACAGAGCAGAAAGAACTTCAAGAAGTTAATTTAGTAAATATTTAAGGAGACAAATTGATGGCGAGGCTGCATCTGGCAGCAACCTCTAATGTTACCGGTAATAGGATGAAGGCAATTCGGAGTGTCCACTCAAAGCTGACTAAAATGAAAGTTGCCGATTGTTTTTTTCCAGCAGAAATATGTTTTACAGCCTGGCATAATGGTTCTGTACATTTTACGGGCATACATGAAGAAATGAATGTATTTGAACTAATCTCTTTTGATTATTTACAACCTGGGACAAAAGGCCTTTTTGGGCTAATAGCCAATTTCTTTATTTGTAAAAACTATATGTGGAGTGCATCTTTTAAAACTTGTCTGTGTTTATTATATTGAAGCTAAGAGTTATGCACATATTTGAATAATTAAGAGTCTGGCTGAATTGACGGTCAGATGGATGTGGGTTGTTTGTAAAGAGGCTTTTGGCCCGCCTCAACTTCACCTCTTTTCCTGATTCTAGATGAGTCAAGTTAGGTGAGATAGCATTCCCAAATGTAGGGACTTCCATTGTCGAGCTTCATAATGCTTCCTCAGAAACTCGAGGAGGAATTTGCTGAGGCTACATCCATGTTTCTTATACATTCTTCATGGGCAGCAGCCGTCAGCCAGTTGACTTTTTCTATTTGAATCTTGTTTGTGCAGTTTCTAGTTTGTTAAATCTGACTTGTTTGAATTAAAATCCCTCAGAGATATTAAATGATATGGATTTCTTTTTTCTCTTTTGTAATGTCTACTGTGTGTGTTTTGTTTTTATTTGTGTTCTTTCAGTATCCCTGGCAGGCTGAAACAGTTTGTGTTGGACCTTCACTCTGGAAAGCTACACAGGGAGTTTCACCACGGCCCTGACCCCACAGACAGCACGCCCGGACAGGTAAGACTGGTTCAACCAAAAGACTGAAAGTTGATCACATCATGTCAACTCTGACTGTTTAAAACTTGAATTTCCCCCCACAGTTGGAGGCAGCAGGAGAAGTGGTCAGCAGCCCTCCAGAAAGCTCTTTCCAGAAACTGGCGCCCAGCGAGACTCGCTACACCATCCTCACAAGGGACCGTGACGAGCTGTGACCCTCTGTTGCCCTCCAGTGATCCTGTGACTCAATGCCACGCCCCCGGGGGTCAGGGAAGGGGTTAGGGTTGGGACAGGCCAGCGGGACAGAACAGCAACACCCAACACCCTTACTGAAGAGAAGGAGATGTAGAAATGGAGAATGAAGAGGAAGTAGGAGGAGAAAATGGAGGAGAAAAGAGAAGCAGTCCTCGACACAACCATGTTGGATTAACCTATATTTTCATAACTCTTTCACGTACAATTTTTATTTTGGATCAAAAGGAAATTGGGTAAAGGGGAAAATCGTGTGTGGGCAGGGGTTAGGGGCATCAAAAGAAGTGTTTTTACTTTTATTTTTTTGGAGCTTGTAAATATGTTTGTGCTACATGGGAGTCTCAGTGTCAGTCTAAATTAAATACGGAGTTTCCTTTGTTTTATTCCTTTTTCTTTCATCACCTGGTTTTTTTTTTTTTTTTTTTTTTTGTAGAAAAAGAAACCAGAGCAGTTTTTGACTCCAGTCGTACGGTTCTTATCTGTGGGTAGTCCAGCCTGTCTTTAGGAGATAGTCTCACTGACCTCATAGCTGCATCTCAATATGATCAACTCAAATCTAAATTCATTTTGTACAGCACGAGTAATTACAATATGCCTGCTTGAGTAGCTTTCCCTCCATTTCTTCTCCACACACACACACACACTCTGAAGGAATAGAAACATATTTTTAAATAACTGAGCAGGCGTGATATAAATTTGAAAGATTGATTTGAGACAGAAGTTAAGGAGACAAAGCTACTCCGCCCTATTGAGATGCACCTCCCCCCCCTCCCCTCCCCTGGTTCTAAATGGTTTTGGATAACGATGTCTCTTACAGTGCATATACAAAGTATTACCCCTCTTGGACTGTTTCTTTGTGTTACTGTTTCATAATACTGACTAACAATGGATGTAGTCAGGATTTCTTTCTCTAAACTCAGAACAGAAACGATGTAACTTGAAAATGATTTTACGTCATCCCATCTTGAGGGCTGTTTCAGCAGCATCATGCTGTGTGAAGGCTTCTCTGCTGAAGACCCTGGACAATGGAAGGTTACATTTAAGCATTAAAATACATGCACATTTCTGTGGAAACATGAATCTTAGTTTGTATATTTTATATCAAGAAGACTGCAGACATGAAGTCAAATATACAATTGCTTCATTAAAAGGCTGTGTGAATGCCTGAGATTGGAAAATTCAATGTCCAGGCCTTAGGTCAGTCCAGAATTAACGTCAGGACTTGACAAGCATGCAACTTGACCAAAGTAGCCTTAAAGGAATCAGTGTCCAGATGTGTAAAGCTGTTAAAGGCTTACTGAAGTAGCCCTCAGGCTGTTAGTGCTACCAAAGGTGCTTCTATTGGTCGTTTTAGGACATGAATACTTGTGCAATCAAGAAATTTGTTAATTGTATCCCAAACCTCTCCAGGGCGTCTTACATACTGATAACCTCACTACTGTAAAACAGTAAAACATTTCAAAGTCAATGCGGGGTGAATACCTTATAAAGGCACAGTATTTTCCACGACATCTCTAATGTGTGATCCTAGGAGTGAATTAGAGGAAAGAAATGGTGTACTTTAACGTGATCAGGAATTTATGAAATGGCTTTTGTTTTGGCTGTTAACCTGTTGAAATGTGTAGTCATGCAGAGGGAGAAAAAGACTTGGTACTTTCCAGGATTTTAACATGCTCGGGGAGAAGGGGCCCATGTGATCAGCGTTGGTAAAATAGTCTCCCACTTTATACAACTTCATTAAAACTGGTTTCATCTCTTTAAATGTCTGTGGTTTCGGTACAAGAATGGATCTCTGGGGTCTACTGAACAGAAATGAATCTTAAAGACAAGGCCAGATTGAGAGTATGGGGGGGACCCTTCGAATAGTTTGTACTGTGCTCCCTGCCCTTCCATTGAGGCCAAAAAAGATGCCTGCATAGTGACATATCAGCCCACATACAGGAGAACAAAAGAGGGGTGGGGGAGGGGGGAGTGTGATGCCATCTCTGAAATAGTCATCTCAGAGGGGAGGAAGAGTATACAAAAAAAAATGAAAGTAAATTAAAAACCATTTTACAGGATATTGTGTTGTCTGTTGTTTGTATGTATGGCGTCTCTTCTTTGGTTCTGTTTTTCAAACCTGTGACTTCAATGTTTTGTTTGGAAAAAAAAAACAAGAAAAAATTGTATTTGGCAGAAAATCCGCAACAGTTTAATCAATACATGGCAGGTTCTTACTGGAGACCCTGGAGGGCTCTGAACTTTGGCACTTTGGTACTTTTTTTGTGCAATATTTCATCCCACACAATTAAAAACAAATATAACCATAAACAGTATAATTTACACCAACATCTAAGCAGGAACACTTTTATTTACATAATCATGTAAATGTAGATTACAGGATCTAAGGGGGAAAACAATCGTACTATAGTTAGAGACATACAGATGTTCAAAGTTGTATTTAAATATCTGCACAAAGAAACATTAAGGCATGGTTACAGGTAGACTTTAAGAAACCTTGGTGCAGAAGAACAATATTAAAAAAACATAAGATGTGAACTCGAGGAGGAACACACAAACAAGGTCTTTGTTAGTGATAACATCTGGCAGAACGATGCGGTTTGTTAAATTGATAGAACTTTATTAGGAACTTCAGAGAAGATCTCTGCTCATGGCTATTTGAAAGTGAAAGCTGTAGTGTTAACTGCTTCGCTAAGAAAAAGAAAAAAACGCTTGTGTATGAAGTTAGATTCATGTCCTCACAGGAACTCCATTCACATCTGAACATCAGAGTATCTGTCTCCTGAAGAATGGTCTCATTATTACACATTTGTTTTTATAGCAGTGTTTGTTGATAACATCTGATGCCGAGTGTCCTTAAGGCATGTGATCAGGATGTGCTTCTGATTGGTCAGTCAACAGTGGTTTGAACCCGAGGTAGGTCATTTGTTTTTGCCTGACTCTGCTTTCGTCGCTGATTCTAGTGGTGGTGCCGTCAGCTGTTTCATCTGTCCTTCCACTTGTGCTTTCTTGTGTTTCTTTACCAGGTTTCCCCCTGCAAACCCTAAGGCGCCCCCTCCCAGAGCAGCAGCCACCCCTGCAGCTTTGAACCCAGCCAGCAGGCCAAGAGGTCCTCCTAGTGCACCGCCCAGCAGTGCTCCGGCAACCGGCAACAGCGCCAACTTGTAGCCCACCGCCTAAAGAGACGGGAGGAAGAGATATATGTTCTAATTTAACACCCATATACATGAACCTTTGGAGGCATCAGTCGTGGCTTCAAGACGGTCTGCCAGAAGAGTTTGGACGCGTCTATCCTTTCATGATCACACATCACATCGACTCATGGAAGGACGAAAGAGCGAGAAAAAAGTAAATGACACAAACAAGCCTGCTAACGAAAATTAAGCCACATCAAAGCCTTTTCATTATCTGCATTCAAGAGAAATCAGAGAGATGCAGCCTGTGTGTTATTACGGCTGCTATCATCAGAGTGGAAGGTGCTTTTTGCTGATGACAATTAATGATACACACACACACAAACACACACTCTCTTGCGCAGGGACACACATTTGATTAACACTTCACCATTAAATTAATCTAGTTCAAAAGCCAACGTTTCTTGTCCTCCCCCCCTGGCAGTCCAGGGAATTTTAATTTCATCTGAACTGAGTTAAAAGGAGTCTGGGTGCAGGTTGTGGAGGATGGAGGAAATGTGTGTCTGTGTGTGTGCGCTTAATGCAGTTTGACCTGATGACAGATTACAAGCTTTCAAACACGTTAAAACATCTGACGCCCTCTCATCTGCTATATCTCTCTGTAACCTCCCCCCCCCGCCCCGCTGCCTAATGTGCAGACAGAGTGGTCAACCTTTATTGCGGTTTTGGGGAATTTAATTTAGAAATTTAAAAAATGACTGTTTAGAGGCATTTATTTAAAAACAAAACAAAACAAAAAAAAAACACGGTGCCATGACGTACAGTATGCCTAGTATGACAACACGGTTCTCTTTTACAGAGATGTGTCAAATTTACATCCTCCAAAGTGGGAACAGTTTTGTTCACCTTGGATCTACTTTCAGACAAATTCAACAAATATAGCCATATGACGACAACACATTATTTACAATTGTGCAGATTATCCTGAGTAGTCTGAACACTCTATTTTTTATAAAAGGATGTTGCATATTAATAAGTTCAAAGCAGTTTCTCCAACGCTCTTGAGCACCACAAAATGAATTTAACTCACCTCATTTATCATTGGGTGTTAACAGGAATCTCAGTGACCAGGACAAATTATAATCTGCATGGATGGTTTCTACAAGCTGAACTGAGAAAATCTTTCTTTTTTTTAATGAAATGAATACACAACCCAAAAACACTGTTTTTCAGCACACAGAAATCACACCTGTGTCATAATCTGGAACTCTAAGAGTCTGTAATTACAGTGTAATGACTTCGAAGCTCCATTCTGTTATTGCAGAAAAAAATACTAAGTAAAGTTAGAACAAACATTTTTTAAGAAAAATTATCCCTGCATGTGTGTGTGTGTGTGTGTGTGTGGGGTTTGTAGATGTAATTGTACAAAAACAAGTGATTCATTCTGAGTATAACAGATGAAAAGTTCAACATTTCAAGTGTGTAGTATGTGTGAAGAGCACTGAGTTGTCCTTCTGAGTTACACTCAGCGTGTAAGAGTGTATTGAAATGATAATTCAAGCCTGAATGCTGCTCTTGAAAAACTATTAAACAGTTATTCAAACCTCTTCTAAATGCTACACACACACACACACACACACACACACACACACACACACACACACACACACACACACACACACACACACACACACACACACACACACACACACACACACACACACACACACACACACACAGACTCTCACTTGTCACCTCTCTATCACTCTTCCTCCCCTTCTATCCTCTCTCTATTTCCTTAATTGCATCTTTCCTCCGTATTCGAGCCGATCAATAGGGACAAACGCTGTGGAATGGCTGCGAGGCAAAGTGCCATCGATCTCCCCATCTCCCAAACACTACTCACACACACACACACACACACACACACACAAGATCATGGTGACACACACATATACACACCTTCCCCAGGCTCTTGGTCCCCTCCTCCACATTGGCAGCGGCTGTGTTGACGTTGTCCTCTATGCTGTCAATCTTCTCCTGCTGGGACTGATGCACAGAGGTTACACACACACACACACACACAGAAACACACACTCTAGCAAGCACATTCACCTACACATACATCACTGACAGGTGTGAAAGAGCAGCCACCTGTCATGTAGTGTGTTTTTGTTTTTCCTGAATTCTGCTCCATGGCACAAGTTAACGCAGGAAAGGTGTGTGTGATTGTGTGGAGGCTCTAGATATATTCAATGGAGATATCAATGGGGGTGGGGTCATGAGTGTGTGTGTGTGTGTGTGTGTGTGTGTGTGTGTGTGTGTGTGTGTGTGTGTGGGGCATTGTGTAAATCTCATGAAATATTCAGAGTGGCAGCTGTCTCTCTCCATGTGAGGGCTGGCCGGACACAGTGACCAAACAACAAGCAGAGCACTCCTCCTCCTCTTCCTCACCTCTCCTCAGTTCCGCCACTCTCTCCTTTAACCTGCTAACTCTGACCTAAAAAATAAAGTTATCTAGCACTACACTACTCACAAATCAAATCTTCTACGTTGTTCTTTTTGTCTTTTTAAGACTGAGACCCAGATAAGACAGCCACAGTGTTCGGGATAAAATGATAATTCAACTGCAACTTTCAATCTTGACTCAGAAACTGTCATAAAATAAAGAAATCTGCACATAAACCACAACGGCATCTTATCCTGTTTTGATTTTATTTGTACGATTGCCAAAAATCAAAACACGATCGTTTTACAATCAAACAAAAAAAAAGAAAAAAGGAGCATAGTTTCACATTGGAGATGCTGAAAACATACATTGTTTTTGGTAGCTTGTGTTCCGTAAGGGACCTTTGTTGCATCTCTCACATCCCTCATATCCTTTAATCCATCAACTAGTGAAGGCTCAAAAATCCACAAATAGCAACAATGAAAAATATTTTTAAAATTAGTTTTCAAAAGGAAAAAAAAGCCTTTAGTAAATGATCTATTTATTCAGTGTTTTCACCGAAAAGCTCTCTACTAAAGGTTTGCATTTAAGCCATTTCAGTCACTAATCAAAAAAGAAAATCTATGATCTAATGGGCTTCTTTTATTGTCTTCTTTTGTATTATTACAGAAAACATTTTCAAGTTGTTATCCTGAAACCAATGACATTGAAAAAAAAGAGCAATTTCAATACATATGAGAAATTAATCTCTGTCAACCTGTGCATCACTGTATAAAATAATTCTATTTCATATGATGGGTGAAAAGAGAGCGTACTATATCACATAAATACTAATAATAATACATATGATAGATAATCTATACTTAAAATTCTGAATGAATTGATTTGAACCCTTAGAGGAAGTACAACCATTATTTGATTTTGAGGAAACCTTAAAGACACACCATGAAAAACCTTCAGATAAGAACACAAACAGGGGAACAGCTACTAACATGACGCATGTTCAGAAACAGACACAAACACACACTCTCTCAGTATTTCCACTGAGGCTGGGCGCAGGAATATTACCTCCCCAACGCAGTGTCTTTCACCCTCGAGACACCACAACAACATGTCTATGCTCTTTCTGCCCCCACCCCCGCTTCTATCTGTTTTTTTTTTTTCAGCCTAACTACTTCTTCACTTTCTCTCTTCCTTTTTCTCTGTTAATCTTTCCCTGCTTCTCTCTCTCCATCCCTCAGGATAGAGTGATAATCTGCGCCGTCTGCTCTCCACCTGCTTCGATGTGTCCCTTGTTCCTCGCCTCTCCCCCTGTGGACGACCCACTTTACTCCCCCAAATCTCTCTCTCTCTCTCTCTAGCTCTTATCTCTCTCCTCAATCTCTCCCCTTCGCCTCGGTGGAGGGCCTCTGGGGCCCCAGCAGCACCGAGTTGATCTGTGTCGCCTCCCCTCACAGGAGCCTTACCAGGCAACACAAGCACACATGGTCAAATACACACACCACTTCCTGGAAACGCTATAGGCAAACAGCCTCTCTCACTTTGTGTTTTGGCTCATAGGGGTCGATGTGCACACATGTATGAGAGAGAAGTGCATAGAGTGTGGAAATGTGAATGTAACAGCCAGGAAGCACAAAGAAGAGTTGAGAGTTCACACTCACATGAACGACAAGAGAGAACTCCGTCACTAAACCGCACAGCTCCTTTAGATCCTGAGAGAGAAAATTTTAAATCTTATTAGATTATGATGCTTATCACGCAATTCCAAGCTACAGTACGTCCAAACTGTCCATATAAATATTTGACAATCACATCAACTCATGAGGATGAATATTATTATAGTTGTATGTACAGTAGCGCAGCATGAAGTTAGCATGTACAGAGGAACAGGTGAAAGAGGTCAGTTAGATTAAACGACCTTGCAATCGGGATGAAAATTGGCTTTGGTTTTGGTTTGAGGTCCTTGTATTGTTCATGCTGGTTTACTGTCCCACTGTCAGAGCAGAGCCATTGTTACTGCACAGGTGGCACCGACATTTTAACTACCAGGACATGTCAGAATGTCTGCTGCTGAACATGCATGCTGTTAAGCATGTTGCTAAACTACCTCTGCTCATAGCTTTTAGACCGTACATTTCATTTGCCTTCTCTACTCATTTTGTAAGAGGCAGAAAGTTGATGTGAGATCTCAAATAGATGATATCAAATACTGAGAGTTAAAAAACACAACTGACGGACAGACATAAAAAAAAAAGAATCCCTGCGATATATTAGATTCCATATTTCCAGTGGGTTTGGGACAGAGTTTTGGTGTTAATTATTGTCAAAGTTAGCTTCAGCAGGCTGCTGGGATTAAAAAGATACTATCTATTTTATTGTTTATTATCTTCTGGACAAGGGTCAGAGAAACTGTACACATGAATGCTACTCCAGAATCAAATCATATGTAGTAGTCATGCATACCTCTTCCAGGCTGTCCCAGGACTCAGCTGCACTCTGATCCAAGGGGATTTCTGGGAGGTGGAGCTGAATTTGCCTCCCAGACACCAGCTTCTCACCAACATCTTCATCGGAAGTGTAACTGCTGGACCCACAACTGGATGGTTGAGTTGCAGGTGTTGGTGCAGGCTGAGGCACGGGGTTAGAGTGCAAAAGCAGGAAGTCTTGTGCAGCAGCTGATGCCCTGTCTCTGACAGGCTTTACAAGCGCTTCAAGAGAGGCAGCATCTTCTGCACGGACCCGAGCACACAGCTTCTCCATCTCTCTGATGTTAGCTCTTAGCTGCTGCAGGGACACAGAGAGGAGGCGGGGGGGTCTCAGTAACAGTGGGTGTCAGGTTGGGAAAATGTATTCAGGTATTCACATACAATAACAGGTATCAGAAATACCTCTGATACAGCCTAAAATGTGATAAATAGAGTTATTGATAATTTCCTTCAGAAATGGTCCCTTTCCTCAGATCGCCAGTTGCCGTCACAACCATAATAAATCTTTGTGCTCCCACTGGCAACTGTTAGAAGTAAAAGATCACATTTCCCTTTTTTGAATTTCAATTGAAATAAATAAAATAGAGAAGTTTCTTTTCTTTTTTTTATCTCACAAGCATAAGGAGGAACTAATCCTCTCTAACTGTAAAGGCAGAAGTACAAGAAAACCTGTAGTTATATCTTTTATTGTGCTTTGGCCTAAACACCTCAGAGAGACTTTTTCGAATGATGTAACTTTCCTTGATGACATTTATTTATTTAAAATAGGGACAGTGCACATTAATGAACATAAAAATGGAAATATGCCACATTAGAGCCACAGGCTAATTTCCATCTGTAGTCCCTTGGCAGGTTGGTGGTAAACAGGTAAACAAAATTACATAAACCCACAAGGACAAGCAAAACCAATACAACCAGTAATGACAAAAAAACAACATATACTGTATATTAGCAGAAAGAGACACATAAATATACCAGTCTAAAGAGTGGCTGTTTGATTTAGCGTCAAAACGAACCAGTTCAAACCATCAGGGTTAAAAGTGCTTAAAGTGCATAAAGTGCTCATCAGTCTGGCATCTAGGAGTTCTATTTGATCAAGATATGTCCTTTAACTCCCGAAAAAAAATAAAAAAAATAAAGGCTATTTTCACCTTTCACATAAAACTAGTTCGTTCATTCATTTGTTACCTCCAGGTTGGATAATTGTGACTCTCTTTTATAGAAATTCTCTAAAGACCACCAGAAAAGATCACATTACTCCTGTAGTAGCTTCTCTCTGGGAGCTCCTGATCTCCGATGTCTCTCGTAGGTTCCTCTGAATCGTTGGTGTTGAAGGGCCTGCTGCTGTGTCGATAATATAACAAAGAGTAAGGTCTTTAACCTGCTCTTTTGTAAAGTGTCTTGAGATAACATTTGTTATGAATTGGTGCTATACAAAAAAAGAGTGATTAATTGATCTTATCCAGGTAAAAAAAACAAACAAGACAGACAACACAACAAGGCTATGTTTTAGATGTAAACACTAATTTCACCTAAAACTAACACAAAGTCCCTCTCTTTTGGCCCAGTCGGAAAAGAGGTGCCAATAAAAGACAGGCCCAGCAAACAAGTCAACTGAGCTACTGGAGGGAAATGTGTACGTGTTTTTGTGTGTACGCGTTGGTGTCTGGGTTTAATAAGGTGCAGATATGACACTGGGGAACACAAGCCCCTTCATCCCATCCTGTGCCCTGAGGGTGACAGGAGGATTACAGCCTCGCCATCAACCCTCCGGGCCAAGGTACGACCTGGGCTCAGGGGGTCAACGTGCTGCCGATAACACGTTCTGCTAATTACGCTGCATGAATAAACATACATGTGCATAAAAGTGAAAAACACACTGATTAACACTGAGACAGTCAGGCCGGGAAGCTGTCAGACTGCAAATGAACCGTGCCCATCCCTAGCTAAAACACTCATTCAATAGCAGATATTCATGATAGAACAGTATCGACTGCTGACCGTCTCATAGTGTAGGTGGGGGTACTGAGTCTGCCTGTGCCTTTTATGTCGATGGTTAGTTATGTTGTGCTAGTTGCGTAAATGTCAATCAGATAGTAGAGCCTACAGTTTGTCTCACTGGGAGGAAGGACAATAAAAGCAATAAAGATGATTAGAAATGATGATAGGCTGCCTTAAAAGGATGATCTATCTATCAGCATCCCCTCTATCTTGTTTATCAATCCGTGTAGGCGATGGTACATTAGCACACATGTGCGCACACACACTCACACACACACACATAGCTGTATACACACACATGTGAACCAGAGAAGACCATGCCGTGCTCTGGATTAACACCATGAAGACACGGGAAAGCACTCGCAATGTGTCCCTGGGGTTTGCAGGGTAATGGTGAGAGGATAGGTGTGTGCCTGTTCGGAGTTATTTCACCTTCAGAGACACGGTGGCTTCCAGGCAACAACTTTCCCTGAGGCATTTCAATCCACCATGTGAACAAGTGAGCAAGTACTTACACACACACAAGAGACGGACAGTTTCAGGTTTGGTAGAAGCTCTTTTCCTGCCCTGATTTTTCAAGAGAAAGTTTGTCCGTGTAGAGCGTTAAAACCAGATAAAAAATATCTCTAAGCATATTTTTTCATGTTTAAGCAGAAGAAACATTTCCTTACCTGGGCATGCTAACTGAATATTACTGTTTTTGACAGATTCATTAACTACTGCATTTTAGGTTGCCTACTGACAACTGGCCGGGGACTACAGCTGGAAATTAGCCACAAAGACTAAAGCTGCTCCTTTAACTGTAAAGTTAACTAAAGGGGACTGTCGACGAAACAATTAACAAATAACCTTAACTAAACTAACTCCACTGCTGTCAACCATTCATTTTTACATTCCTCATCAAGTGTAGAGTCTCAGTTCTAAAGGAGACGGTTTTTATCATTTGACCTGCAAAGGGAGTTTTGGTCAAGAAAAAAAAGGTCCTTAATGACAACTAGCAAAAACTGAAGTGCTGACAAAACCACATAGAAAAATGAACGCTTCAAGAACAGCGAGTAAATTGGACCTTGTGATGATAAGCTGAACGTTAAGCAGCTTTTTTTCTTTTCAGATGATACAAAGTTCATTTTGTTGATCGTGGGGTGGCTGGGTTTAGTTGGTCAGTTAATTCACAGGGGAATTTCTCTATGTCAGTAACACCTACTAGATAAACCTAATTTATTTATCAAAACCGAGCTCTGAAGGGTTGAGACAATTTGTTAGTAAAAAAGTATAGTCTGCAGTTGCATGGTCATGCTTGTTCAGGAATTTTGAGAGGCAATGAGTCACATCATCTTCTAAACAATCCCCACATTCAGAAATCGGCAAGGCCCTTACATGATTTTTATTAGAAAACAAAAAACTGCCTCTGTGACGAGAGGAAGTTGGTAGTTAGTTATTCGTAGGAAGTTTGGTGCTGTGAAAAAAGGCAAATAGCATAATGGTTAATAACATGAAGTTAACAGAGTATATCTTATACCTGAACAGTTCTGCTGGCATTGACGTGCTCCTGATGGAGGCGATCCCATTGGTGGCTCTGCTGGTACTGCAAATATGAAAAGCAAAACGATCTGTTATCCATCTGTGGACCGGAAGTGAGAGAGAGCGGATGTGAGGGTGCGATCATGTGGGAAGCCTGATTTTAGCCATCACCTTCAGTATGTTATTGTGGTGTTTCTGCAGCCTCTCCAGGTCCGTGGGAAGAGCCACTTTAATGAACTTGTGGATCGGTGCCTCCAGGCGCCTCAGTGTCAGCTTGTTGCTTTCCTCTGCCATGTGTCCTGCTGACTGCCCACAGCCAACACCTCTATGACTGTCTATGACACTGCACCTGCTCGGCTTTATTTCACTGCTTCCACACTAATATCGGCAGAGGAAGAATAAAATAAATAAAAGTCAAATAAATTAACTCAGTGACGCATGCAAATTTTAGCCCACACATTTAAAACTGGCACATCCATGAGACTCATTTAAAAAAATATTTTTAGTTGGAATGAGTAAGTGGAGTATGACTTTGACGGAAAGACATCAACACTGCAACGATGACTCCACCAATCAATTATGACGTTTTTTTTTTACGCCAAGCAAAATATCCCAACATGCTTTGTGTCCACTTTTCTAAATAAAACTTCACTTTGCTTTTCGACAGTTCGGGTTACTTTTCGGATAAAAAGTGAAAACATCCCCTGAGCAGTGTTTCACACTTGTTCTATGATTTTCAGGCTAGAATGAGTACAGAAAGAAAAATCAATCAATGCATTTTTACTTTCACTGTCAATTAATGGACGATTAGTAGTTGTTAGAAAAGCTGGAAGAAAACTGTCCAAAAATACTGATCATTGTTAAACTAAGCCCAAAGTGACTTCTTCAAACATGACATTCAATAAGCTGGAATGAAAAATTCTTACTTAAAAAAAAATAGTACTTAATCTTTGTGTTACTGCAGAAACATGTGGTTAAATGTTAGGAAAACAATTATTCTGAGCTGTAGTGATCGTGTTGCAAGAAAACAAGTTTGCTAAACTCAGTTAAAACAGTCTAGTTTTGTGACACAGCTGTCCTCAAGCGTCAGAAATGAAACTGATAGTGTTTGCCCACAAAAAAAAATCTAGATAACACGATTTGAAGATCTTAATACAGACTAGCACTATTAATCCAGCTGTGTGACACCCGAGGCTAACTCTTAACTAACTCTTACAGGTTATAAGCTATTTATTCACACTCTTATTAAGCCTTTAAACCCTGAAACACTTTCTACTGTGGACCATGAGTCAGCCCTACCAAACTTGAAGAACAGCGACACTCACCACTGAGAATATGAAGAGTCAGTGATGTTTATATTCGCTGAGGACTGTCCTTAGCCCCCATGCTTTTTGCGAAAATTAATTATTCCATACATTTCCGCATTTTCAGCATCGACTTCAGTTTGTTTCTGACACTTTCGTTGTTTGTAAACAACTCTCCACCACGAGTGCGTCCACGAATAGATTCCGACCTAAACCAGTGTCCACAGCAAAACATGTTCCACACCATTAATGTGCAGCGATGGGCCGGGGTCGGCTTCGAACCCACGACCGCTTTGGCAAAGATTTTAGCCATGGGGCGCGCAAAATTACTGCAAGGCCATCGGCACCTGCATTTCAGTCGTTTTCAAAGGGTAACTAAACCCCATATTTTCAGCTGTAGTGCTCAGGTTTTCACATTTTTTCCAACGATTTTTATTGAATGAATTAGTTCTCTTAAATTGATGTTATTTAATTTTACACCTGTGACCAACAGCTATCAACATTGTTATTGTAATCCAATTAAAATTCTATGAAAATTAATGAGTTTTATGAAAAAAATCTTTTTTTTTTTTACATCTTTGGGACTTCAACCAAAAATTATTCAACTTGTTGATTATACTGACTGTGTTTATTGTCTTGGTCTGTGTGAAATGTCAAAAATGGTGTAAAGTGTTAACAAAGGCACAAGACAAGGCCGTCAGTGTGTTGTGTTGTCCACAAACCAAATTTGAAATAAACACTAGATACTTGTGCCCTATAATGAAAGTGTTCAGTGAAGACACCCCTTGCTCCAGTCAATTATACTGATAAGTTACATACCCTACCACATGGCCGTTAGTTGCCACTGCACCCAAAACAGCATTGCCACCTTCAACAGACCCAGGCTCAGTAAATGCCAGCCCCAGGTAGTGACAACGCTGAAATTACCTCCCCTACCACATGGCCCCACAATTCAACTGTGTAGAACCATGGGTAGCAAGCCAGTTAACTCTGGCGTCCCACTCCCCTCATATCTAGCTCTGACAAGAGAAAATGGAGAAACCCAGAGAAAAGCCTGTAGAGACTTCTTTGAAAGAGGGTAGGGGAAGCAGAGCTAAGTTGAGGTGCCCTTGCTGGGGCTAGCACTCACCAATGTCGGTCTCGTCTTTGCTCTACCTCCCCCTACTCCCTCATTTTCATGGGGGACGAGGGGAGAGAAAACAATAGAGACAGGTGGTTTTCTCAGTCATCCAGTTCATGGTAAATTCAAAGTTTGATCCAAAGGCAACTGGACTGGTTGAAAATCTTGAAGACGTTTCATCTCTCCTCCGAAAGGCATCTGAAACTGGAGAAGCCTTTTGGAGGAGAGATGAAACGGCTTCAAGATCTTCAACCAGTCCAGTTGCCTTTGGATCAAACTTTGAATTTTCTCCTACTTTGCATTGGCCCCCAATTGGCATTACCTTACCTCATCCAAATCCACTGACTTGATTAAGCTGCCTCATCTGACATCTCCCTTATTGTCTTCCACAAACCTTGTCCATGGATTCCCTGCTATGAATCTTTTACATCCTACTTCTACTGTACAAACCCTAACTCTCCATCCTCGCTGTTCAGCTTCTGACCATATATCTGTATATGTAATAGCCAAATGTAGCCTCTATGTTTACAAAAAAGAAAGCAGAAAATACTTTGAGAGGCTGTAATACAATCATATTTACTTTAAATAACTTTCACCACCTTGTTATTTAAATATCAAAATAGTTGACAATTAAATCATTACTTTGCATTACATTTTTATCATTGCTGTTAATGAAAAAAGGTTTCCAACTTCCGCCTTGCAAATATACAGTTGTACTTAATTTGTTTAGGGGGTTTTCAACTTGTTTTGTATTTACATTTTTGGTTTTAAGGTGTATTGTGCTTTTTAAACCTGGTATTTCATTTTAAATGACTGAACAGATTGATGAATAAGCAAAAATAAAGGTTTTTAGTGTTATCCGTAAGTATTACAACACCTAAAAAAACATGGATGGACATTCAAATTGGCGGACATATTATTGAACAGTTCATGAATGGGCTATTTAAAGTGGGCAGATGATGTTTCACAGGGGTTCTTTGGACTTTTTTTGGCAGTTTTGAGTTAGATACATTGATAAAAGTTATTTTTTAAAGTAACAGTGTGCTGACTGTGTGTGACGTGTCAAATTTCTAGTAACCGCTAGATTATCAAAATTATATTTCCTGGTTAGTGTAAAGAAACATATTGTAATATTTTTGTCCATGTTGTCTTGGCGACGGACAAAGAGACCGATCGGGGTTCCCCCTCCTCTTCTCTGAGATCAGCTGCTGTGAGTGGGTCTATTGCATGTTTCCACTTCTCTTCCTCACCACCTTTACCTAGAAAACCCCCCACACACTCCTCCTCCAGCGGATGCTTCATGCGAGGGGCTACATTGAAACTCACAGTCCCCAGCAACAGGGGACTTCCCCATAGTAATGTTCATGTCTGTAAGTGTGTGTGCATGTGTACATGTGAGACTGTGGCTGTCTACTTCGTGGGGACTCCCAGATCTGCAGAATGAAGGGGAAGATGTAGGGTTTGTGTGTCTGCCTCTGTGTTTATCTCTAATTGTTTGCGCGTGTGTCTGTATGTTAGGCTTAGGAGGACTCAGGTGTCTTTTGTTTCAGTCTAATCCAGGAAGTTTGTCGGCAGGAGTGGAAGCCAGCAGGGTGCTTGGTTCACGCCTTACCTCCTGCAACTGACTGTTTTTAAATGGGTGTGATCAGCTCATCCTGATAGCTCAGTGGATGAAGACACTTTTTTAAAGCAGACATCTTAACTTGTTGTAAAAGCATTAACTACTAATGACCTTAACGATTGCTTTGCTCTATTTAAGTTTCCCATGAGTAATAACAGTTTCAACAGAAAATGAGCTGCAGAACACATGGTCCCAGAAACTAAAACAGCAAAATGGAAGTAAGCCATCTTTGATTTTATTTTATTTCCACCTGTGTTTTCTTTACCGTGCCAGGTCAAAATAGCTTTACATTTACAAGTTTGAGGACTTGAATGAGTCTTTTCATTTCTGAATGGATTAGAATAATTTATGAACCCACAACAAGAAAACAGCTGCCTTTGGACTGTGTGTGTGTGTGTGCATATGTATTTGTGTTTCTGTGTATTTATGTTCTAATGGGACCTCTAATTAAAACTCCTGGAGTATCTGCAATCTGTCAGCACTGATCGATCGACCAAGAGACTGACAGCTTACTGTGTGTGTGTGTGTGTGTGTGTGTGTGTGTGTGTGTGTGTGTGTGTGTGTGTGTGTGCATATGCAAGTTTGAGTGTGTTCATGCTTGAAGCAAAGCTCTCTGTGCTTGGCATGTTATTTTACCCGTCACTCTGACATGTCACTGTTGTAGGGATAGGATTGGATACATATGCATTTGCACATACACAAACACAGCAGACACACACACACACAAACACAGCAGACACACACACACACACACACACACACACACAAACACAGCAGACACACACACACACTCTATAAAAATAGTGTGAATGGTCTTTTCCTGCTTGCTGATTGAATACAGAGACATCAGAAAACCCAACAGGAGTAAGAGGTGTCAGACAGAATCTTGTGAGATGACAGACACAGACACACACACACACAAATATGAAGTAATTTACCACTAGTGATGTTTCTAGTTGCCAGAACTTTTATTCTCTTAGAAATGTATAAATTTAAACGTCTGTGGAATGAAGATGTTTTTTTAAGGTTTATTTTGGGGCTTTATATGCCTTTATTTAAAGACAGTGGATACAGTCAGAAATTGGGGAGAGAGTGGGGAATGACAGGCAGGAAAAGAAGCCACAGGTTGGATTTAAACCTGGGCTGTCCACTTGGAGGATTCCAGCCTCCCTTTATGGGGCGCAGGCAGTAACCACTAGATTACCGGTGCCCCTGAAGATAATGTGTTTTGATATGGACCATGTATAGTGTATAGTCTGAACTTTACTCTGGCTAACTCTTTCTCCTCTCTTTCTCACGCACACAGATTGAGCCGTTTATAATTTCACACCACAATTACTATCAATCACCTGCCTGTCTGAGACAGAGAGAGAGAGAGAGAGAGAGAGAGAGAGAGATAGTTTGTATGTGTGTGTGAGTGATGGCAGTGACAGTATAGACGGCATGTGCTGTGAAATGTCACTGTGGCGATCGATGGTGTTTAACAAGGCTGGAGGCTGATCTGGACCTCATGCTAACATGAAGCTCTTCTCTCCTCCCTCCTACCCATCCTCCTAATCCCCCTCTGCTGAGAGCCCAAGGGTCCCACGGGAGAGAGAGACAGGGCCTTTTACCTGTCAAGAGGCTTTTGTGTCCAGACCAGACACATGCACACACACACACACACACACACACACACACACACACAGACACACACACACACACACACACACACACACACTCACACTCACACTCAGACTCACACACTCACACACACACACACACACAGTGTAAATTCATCTCAAATTTTCAATTTTGTTGACTTTCGAGTGGTCTTGAAACACAGTCATTTTTAATTAAAAAAATCAGAACTAAGGACAAAGTCAGACAAGATGATCAGAACTAGTTTATGATTTCAAAGTGCTGAACAGAAAATCCAGTGAACCAAAGAGAAAGAAAAAAAATAAAAATTGAAAAGGAAACTCAAACCAAAGGACATTGAAAAACAACAACTTTTTTCTTTTTTTTGTTTCTCTTCTTCAAAAAACAATGCACAACTCGTACCACAATATTTGAAAAAGCTAAAAACACTTCAAAATATTAGTTTTGTATATATATATTTATATTTATATCTATATAATTTGATATTTTCATATGTCAAACTGCTGCCGTGAGTGTGTGAGTGGGTGGTGGAGGCCAGGGGAGATCCCCACATAGAGCCGCAGTCTGGGACACAAACACAAGTGGAGCTGTTTTGACGGGCTATGGCTGCTCTGGACACACCATGCATATGATCCTGACTTCTCTAAGCGTACACACAAAGACAGGTTGTCCTCCACTCTCTCACACGGCCTCCATCACATTAGAAACAAATAGAAAAAGAGCATGACTGCGGAATGTTTCACCCCTGGACGTACAGCTTTCTGTCGAGCACCCTCCTCTCCCCAGACTCACCCGCCGTCATCTAGGGGAGCAGGTTCGGGTGTGTGTCTGTGCTTCTAGCCCTTCTCAGGGAATAAGTGCTTCAAAAGCCAATTTACATGTCCATCTTTAAACCTCTGTACCCCTACACGACCTATGATTTAAAAACAAGTTAATAATAATAAAAAACATAAAAGAGCAAGTTCAAGTCTGTGTGACTCAGTCATCAATCGTTAGTGCACAGTTTCTCCTCTGCTGTCTAAAACCAGGCAGAGACTGTCTCTCTTTGTTTTAGCTACCGACAGTAAAGAACTTTTTACTAAAATAATTTAGAGTTTAAAATTAAACCGGTTCTTCTCCATCTTTTCCTTTTTGTCGTGAGATAGCACTTAAGAAATTGCACTTGGAATCAAGAGCTCAACTCAACAGCCATTTCCATGTGTTTATGAAGTATGTGTTTCTGCACGTCTGCGCAGTACGACATCTGACTTTTCACTGTCAAAAGAACAAATATTTCCTTCTCTTTAAGAGGAACTGGAATACACAGCAACTTGTGCTTTACTGGGATGTCTTCAGATCTGAAAACAGTCATTCACGCTGACACCTCCCCTTTCCCTCTTTCCTCCAAAGAAGTCCTAAGACTGCATGAGCCAGGCCAACAAACAGATAAACAGGGCTAATTAACCATGGTGTTCTTTCTTTTTTTTTGCTGGGTGAGCAGACACCCAGACGGTGAGAGGACAGTAAAAAGGCCTTTTTCTTTCCATCGTCCATCTCAGCCTTGTTTTACTCCCCCACATGATGAAAACAGGATCACATAAAAAGTAATAAAGCATTCGAGTAATTGTCTCTACACTGGTGAAAAGCATTTAGTTGGTTTGTCCATTTGAGTGAAAACCATTCTTGATTGGTTTTCCTATTGAGTAGAAAGCATTTGATTGGCTATCTCTGCTCAGCATCAGCCAGAGGGGAGTGTTTCGCTCTTTTGGATTTGTGCGCGTGCTCCTGCAGGGGGGGGGCAGGATGTGACTTTGTTTTTCTCTGTGTGGTCAGTCCAGAACCTTCAATAGGGCAGAGTGTCCAAGAACCTGTCAATCAAGGGAGGGGGCGGTACCAGGTCCTCCAGCTTCAGGTAGAAGATCCGTTGAAGGCCCTGGGTCCTTTGGGAACGTAGCTCCGCCCTTACACCCAGAATACGACTCAGAGGGGGAGTGGCCTTGGAGGAGGAAGAAGAAGAAGGACTGCAGCCCAGGTGGTCTCTGAGACAACAAATGACTTTATTCTGCAGCTCCTCCACCCGCTTTGAGTCCTTCAGACCTGGGACTTGCTCTGTGAACAGACAGAAAAATTATGAGAATAATTGATAAAACAGAGAAAAATATGTCACATGAAACAAGAAATACACACTCAGACACAAACACAAATACATCATTCAACTGAAAGAGCATTAGCTACATCTTCTTTTATATTGAATTCCGCCTCATTACCCTGTATGGCTAATGTCCTTAACAGGCCTTAACCTGTCTCACCAACTACAGATCAATACACAGTCTAACCTAATAAGCCTTCTTCACACTGTGCACCCACACATATATAAATATTTGCACAGACACACACAGACAGACACACACACACACACACACACACACACACACACACACACACACACACACACACACACACACACACACACACACACACACACACACACACACACACACACACACACACACACACACACACACACACACACACAAATTGTCCCAGCAATTTAAGACACTGACAGACACAAAAGTGCTCAACAATTAGCTGATTATTCGGCCATGTGAGCAGCCAAATGAAATTAGAAACACGCATGCACACAGACACACACACACACACACTCCACTGCCCTTAGCAACTCCAGTGGCACCCATACCAGGCTTAATGTGACACTAACTCATTCTGCAGAGAACAGGGTGTCCAACCACACATATATACACACACACACACACACACACACACACACACACACAACACACACACACACACAACACAGGCACACACACATGCCGGTCGGTGCTGCAGGGAGGCTGTCACTAAGACCAGTCTCACTTTGAGGTATCCATTATCTGAAGCTTGTTTATTGTTTGTTTATGTGCCTCTTTGTTTGTTCTGTGTTTGCTGCAGCAGAGTCACTCCAGCCCTCCTTTCACTGCCGCTTTCAGAGCCCTCACTCCCCCCTCTCCCTGCTCCTCTTGTCCCTTCTTTCTCTATGTGCGCGGGCTCCTGGGGAGGGATCGATGGCTGCCTTTCTGCACAGGCCACTCTGAAAATGGTCGATCGCCCGGCAGCTCTGGCGGCTCTGTCCTGGCTGCGCGTTGTGTGCTTTGCCGAGGTGGCAGAACGCCACTGCGAACACCGCAGACGCCATTCCAGAGCTGCGCTCCATGGTGGGCTGGTCGATCAGGCACAGAGTTAAGTGCTCCCCCAGAGAGAGAGGACAGGCTTGGAGGGCTTAGACAGAGGAAGAGAAGGTGGAAGAAGAGGAGGAGGTAGCGGAGGGGGGTTAGGATGAAGTGAGGAAGCTGAGCGTACGGGGGAGGGAGTTTTATCCATTACACATTATAAACAGATTTGACGTGTGAAAAATAAAATATGAATACCTAATTGCACGTGTATTGTCCCCAACCATAGGCTACTTTTGTAATTGCCTTCAGTGCATTTTAAAATGTAGTTCACAGAAGACTTCTGCCTCTTCTCAGGTGTGTTTTAGCACAGAATATTGTGGCTCTGCTTCCATTTTTCACAGATTCATGCTGATTAGAGGGCCAGGTGTGAGGCAGGTGCAGCAGGTGCTTCTGGGTATCGAGTTCTTGTTTCAGGCAGAGATGTGTGAGAACACACATGCACAAGTGTGTCTTTCAGCGCATGTGTGACGTCTGGGGATGAATCCACCTGATCGCTGTCAGATTGAATCATCCACTGGTAAAGCTTTGGACAAGGGAAAGAAGCTTTGTGTGTGTGTGTGTGTGTGTGTGTGTGTGTGTGTGTGTGTGTGTGTTTGTATGGATTTGTCTCCATACATTCACACAACAGCAGAACATTATGTTGTTCCTTGGTTGTGTGTGTGATGGAGAGGGCCAGCTGACTTTTTTGTCATGTCATATGTATTTGTTTTTGAGGTCTGTTCACTGACGTGTCAGACTTTTTTTTTGTTTTTACCTGTGAGCAGTACAAGTGCGGCCAGGCAGGCGAAGGCGGAGGCGTCCAAGTTTAGGCTCTGGAGGTGAGTGGAGAAGTCCCGGATGGAGTCAAGCCATTCTCCAAACCCCCGAAGGCACTGGAACCTGTGCAGCACCGAGCCGTTACAGAACACGAGTTTATCCTCTGACAGCATGGACCTGAGACACAGAGAGAAAAGGGGACTCTGGTTAGACCTCTCTAATGAAACACTGCGCTTTCCCTCCTGTATTGTGAATATGGCTTGAGATACCAGGGCAAGGAAACAATTACAATAAAAACAATGAGAAAACCTGGCAGTATGTACATGCACACACGAATGGGACACACATCAAACACAGGCATGCAGCTGATTAAGGCTGTGTTTTCTAAATTATAGCATTTTAAAACATTCCTGTGTTTCCTTTCAGGAGGTTGGGGTGAAGGGTTAGAGCAGAGGGCTGGTCTTGTGTGAGTGTGTCTGTGTGTGTGTGTGTGTGTGTGTGTGTGTGTGTGTGTGTTTGCAGATAGGTAAATTGTGGCTTTAATGTGCCCAGGCTGTGGTGTGCTGTGGAAACACAAAGCCTTAATGAGGAAATGAAAAGCCTTCTCAGATGTATTTAACCATCAGTTACTCACGACACACAACATCCTGCTCCTTTACTATAGAGAAGAGGAGGGAGAACAAACCGAGAATGACGGAGAGCTTTGCCTCATCTCTAATAGCGCCGAAAAGCAATGTGGCCTTCATCAGAGAGCCTTTAAAGTGTTTAGTAGTGTTTATATATCTAGAAGACAACAAATGGTTGAAGGAAGAAAATAGAGCTCATAAATGCAGGGCAACGACAGAAGTTGTGTGAGCGAGGGGGAAAGAAGGTGAAACTTCAAATTACGCCCTGCATGACTTTTGGTTGGACAGTTATAAGGATAGGATTTAACAACGTTTTTCTTATTATGATACTAAAGTTTAACAGAAGTACACATCCAACCTCAGGGATAAAATGATCACACACAACGTACCAATCATACATACTAAACAATACTGTTCTCAGTAAACAAGTTTCATTTAATTACCCCCTAAGTTTCAGTAATTTATGATTCAGACAGTGTTTTAAAGTTGTGGTATATTCTGAATCTGAATCTCATATATTCACCAAAAACAAAAAGTCTTTAAATCCATTTATGCATCCATGATATGTGGTTGGTTTAGAATCATCTCTTACTATTTAATTTTAAATGCACCTCTTCAAATAGAAAACAACATATTAAGTCATATAAACCTGTAATTCATCATAATATGAGGCGAGGGAGTCTTAGCTGCAAAGGTCTGCATCATCTTTTTAGGTTAATATCCTGTTTTGTGGTTAGTCGTCTAATAACAATACTAAGCATCAAGTGTCTGATTAAAGTACATGAGCAAATCTACACAGACAGACAGGCAGACACATGCACGCACGCACACACACACACGCACGCACACACAGCTGGATGTCTGCCACTCATTCCACTCACCCCTGACTACACTGTCACCACGGTAATCAACCAATGACCACAGAAACTGAGTGGTAACGGGGTGCTTACAGCAATGTCGGCCCACAAGAGCGGAGCAAATTTACTCTACACACACCGAGTACTTGCTCTCTTTCACACACACATACACACACACACAGACAGACACACACTTATGCAGACTAAAACAGGCATATGCCAGCACAGGGGTTTGCAAGCATCTGAGTTCAACATGGGGTCAGCACGAGGTTGCTTCAACAACGAGATCAGAAAGTGGATTGCATCCGTCTGCTCTCACAGAAGATAGACAAAGTAAGACAGAGATGCGTTTGTGTGTTTTTTGCATGCCGTGGGAGGTTGGCCGATTAGATGAAGGGCAGTGTGTGCGTGTGTTCGAAAACAGGCCCAATCTGAGTGCACAGTTTAGTGTGAGTCAGAGTCCCCCTCCTGCTGGGACTGTGATGCCACCACCCAGTCCTCTACCCACCCTGCACCTGGACTTACATCGGGAGGAGGAGAGAAAGTTAAGACTCAACATCACAGTGTGCGTGCGTGTGTGTGTGAGTAAGTGTGCCTGTGGTTGTGTGACTGTGTTGGTTTTCTGCCCTGGACAACAGCACAGACAAAAGGATGAGCTTGTAGGCCCAGCCCCCCTCCTCCTCATAAATTTAACCAGCCGCATGCCTTACAAGAGCAGACCGGTAACCACTGGTGACACTAGAGCATAGATGGGCACTGGCAGTCACAATGGCACCACAGGTATGTACAAGGAAGACACACAAGTACTCACACACTCATCACTAGAATCATGAGGTGAAAGAAGCAAATTCCTTTTTTATTCCTGTCAGCTGAATTAAGAATGTATTTCCTCCCATAATGTCCCTCTTCGGTCCGTCAGCTGACCGGTTTTCAGATGGAATTGATTCCATCAATTCACAGTTCACAATGTAAGCACAGTTTTAGCCCGCAGAACACACACAGAGCTCTCTGTGCGTCAGATATCAGACGAATGGAGTAGAGCGGAACTCTGTGGGTGTAGCTGCTGTCATAGCTACAGACTTCATTCATAATTTTGGTTCATATGGCGATTACTCAGCTTCAGTCCTCCTACTCTGGAGATACACCAACACAGCAGCACACAACCTCGGCCTTCACAGTAACACATAGAAATGTAATGGCGAAAGATAAAATCAGCCTCCAGTTTGAAGTTGATGATATAGTTGTGAGAGTGCTTTTTTTAATATTAAGGAACACAACGACTAAAATGTGTGCGCATAGATGTGGAAAGTCAACATTTTCATCCATCTAACCCACACTGGAAACTACCCTTCTTACCTGTGAGCTAGCCGCAGGACAAACAGCTCCAGGAAGGCAGAGTCTATGAGGAGGTTCTGATCATCACGCTGAAGCTCGGAGAACCCGGGAAGCCGTTCCGCCCAGCATCGCGTGGTCTCCATCGAGACGGTGAGCAGTCTGTAGAAGAGCTGGATGTGCTCTGCATCTGAGGAGGAAGAGGGAGGGTCGGCAGCACTGAACTGTAGGAAGAGATGAAGAAAAATGACTGAACTGAGTGTTGAAAAAAAAGCCAAATTTTCACTTCACACATGCAACTCTGTAACATAAAATTGAAGTTTTGATTTTTTTGGCAGTACCTGGCTGTAGTCGAGGTCCCGGGGCGTGCAGTGGGAATAAGCCCTGAGCAGAGCGGACAGCAGGCTGAGGGGAGGAGAGGGAGGAGACGCTTCTGTCTGCAGGGGGCTCTTTGGTTTGGAAGGCAGACGGCCTCGTCGCCCCTTCAAGCTATCTGTGCGTACCACTGTAAGACGGGGAAAGAAGCAGACAACAGGCCACAATGTGGAAGTTGTTCAACCTGATCTGGTTATATACATGCAGCATGCACAAAGAGGCCCTTTTCTCAAACTGCTTGTTATCTGCATCTTATCGCTGAAGAATTATGACTGAAGGGAACCCTCCAACATTCTTACAATTTTTTAAAAAACATGGGAGGAGAGCAGCCAGCAGATGGCAGTGGAGCAGTTCTACAGGCTACAGACGTGTTCAATGGAAAAAGAGCGTGTGCTTTAGGTGAGTGTATATGCATGTGAGACAGGTAAGAAACAGGGGGCATCATGTTGCAACAGTCTAACTTGATGACACAAATATAGAGATGTAAACTGTAAGACGTTTTGAGCAGGATGGACACACCTTTGGCTCTCTGTCAAAACTTTAAAAACTACTAGATCAAGGTGTTTTCTAAGGTGTGGGCACTTGTGGTGTGTTTTTCTTTCTTTTCTTTTACTGTCTGCCTCTACCAAGCAAAGGATAAGTTACGGCTCATGAATGTGCGTGATGCTGCCACAGGTTTGGCAGACAAAACTTGTCCCACTGTCTGTTTCGATACTTTTCTGAGTAGCCTACCAGGTGTGTGTCTCTCTTACCTTCCTTCACCATGCCGACACTCAGACACTTCTGGAAGCGGCAGTACTGGCAGCGGTTGCGTCTCCTCTTGTCCACAGGGCAGTTCTTACTGGCCAGGCAGACATACTTTGCGTTTTTCTGCACAGTGCGCTGAGGAGAGAAGAAACAGGCATACCGATAATCAGCCTCCGAAAAACAATCATCCACCTAATATTTGATTTGTTTAATTCAATTTGTGTTTTTTTTTCTTCCCCATCAAAGACCAAAAGCAGAAGCTCGCAGGTCAGATTTTAATTACGCTCTGAAAGGCGGCGGTGACATCAGTATAATTAGATGAAATTAATTTCCCAACAAGCCTCGCCTGCAGGAGGGACAATTTTATTAGCGCCGGAGCCGACAATGGAGGGACCAAGCGCGTGGCGTGCGGAAGTGGCTCCCGCGAGACAGGAGGACAGCGTCCGAAAGAGCTGCCTGATCAGATTGTTTCTGCTCGCGGGTCAGCTCGTGGCATCTTCGGGGCCTCGCGCATGGCGCCTCTCTCAATGGGTCCCTCGGGAGCTGTTTTCTACTCGGGAGCTCGCGCGATTATTACTGACCTTATTAAATTGAAATCAGAAACGGGCCGCGTGCGCTTCCCGCGTGCGCTTCCCGCGTGGATAAAAGACAATAATAACAGAGGTGGCTTGTGAATACTAGCGAGTGCGCGCGCGCGCCAATGAACCAAAGAGTAAAGTAAGCTCCCCTACACCTTAAAGTTGAATAATGACTTAGTGAAAAGTTTCCTGAGCTGAATAAGAGGCATTTTAGGAGTCATTCAATGGCTGCAGGATAAGCCTTTATAAAGAAGTCTGGCTATCTAATTAACAGACCACACAGCTGTAACATCAGTGCTTCTGTGTCTAATCTTTACAGACGTGTGGGACAAAAAGATTTAACTTCTTGGACAAGCATTTGCCTGGTGTAAATAGCCTACTGTTTTAATGAAGTTGTCACATTCACAAAATATATTTTTTAGACCTAATGACTTTATAATTACTGTCGTTTGCCAAGTGTTTCTTTTTTTTACACTCTGTCAGTGTCATCCTGTGACTCCAGTGGTCCAGTCGGCAGACCAAACTGTAAACTAAACATAGGCTACGGAACCCACGGAAAGTGTCGCGGCTTCTCCTCTTCTTTAACGCCTCTAAAACACATCAAAACAAATAAATCCAATTAGCATCCCCTCGCGCCACACATGCCCGTGCCCCCGGGAGACCAATAACACACCAATTATTCCATATGCTCCGGCGCGAGTGCGGAACTAGCGCGTAATGGGCGACTGTGCCGGATGAGAGTCGTTGCCATGGCACCGCAGCTCGCCGTGAATGTCTGCCTCTCGTCCCTTCAATGGTCAGTGACCCGTGCGCGCGGGGATAAGTTAGTTATGGTCATTAATGTGGTCGAGGGAAAATATCATCCGTTTAGTGAGAGTTTAAAGCTAGGCTACATGAAAGACAGAGCTGAAGCATGCTAAGATTTATTTACATCTCTACAGCCCTGCACCAAAGCTAGTACAAAGTTAAAAACTTATTTTTAACCCTATCGGAATCACACTTATTTCTGTCAGCTTTTTGAATTAAGCGAAGCATTTAATGGTCATTGTGAGACCTTTTTTCTTAGGTCTCAACAACAGTTTTTATTTTATTTTTCTGCAGAATACTGAATCACAAGGTGAAATATGTGAAGGTTGAGTGAACCCTTGTGGTTTAGGGGGGAGTTCTTGCACTCAGTGAGCTCAGGGCCTGATTTATAAGATAACTGCTTACAATAAAAGCCTTTCTTTCAAACGATCAATTAAGCTTCTGATGAATTAAGCTGTTATGAGTGAGTGCTGGCCTGTCTCCTGCTGTGTGTGTGTGTGTGTGTGTGTGTGTGTGTGTGTGTGTGTGTGTGTGTGTGTGGTATGTTTGGGCTCTTGTGACTTTGCTTTCCAGTAACGTGATCATGACTGGCGTCTCAGAAGAGACACTATATATCAGGGCTCTGATACTCATCAATGGGAACTCTTCTTCCATATGTGCCCATACACACACACACACACACACACACACACACACACACACAAAGATTGAATTATCTTAACATGATTAACAAATCTGTAGATTCGTATATCTGTACATTGCCTACATGTACAGTGACCCTATAAGAGTTTAAATACGTATAAGCACGTGTGTGAGGTTCTTCCACTTTGCCTGAATTTATGTTATGTCTTGAAATGTATTTTGATGTTTGTGGCTGATTTTTATTACGAGGTCATACAACATTTTTCACATTGTTGTGTCAGAAGCTGCAATTTTAGACACCAAATTTATGTGCTGGCAAAGATTAAATAAAAATGTTCAGTTAAACATTGAGAGAGACGCTCGTTCATAAATCAACACACACACTCATGCAGAAACTCATATGCTGGGGGTGCTATGGGAGCTGGATGGAGTCATGCAGAGGCAGACATGTAACATGTACTAATAGCCTCAGCTTAAATGAAAAGCCTTTAGGGACTGTGTTCCCCCTTCTCCTCCTTATGTCTCCTCTATCTACTCCTCTCCTCTTCGCACTATTCTGGGGCGATAAGCCTTTCTCCCTCTCTCTATATCTGTCTGCAGAGAAAGTGCGAGAAAATTTTAAAGTAAAAAAACATGCAAGCTAGTTTTATTGTTATTTTAACAAAAAAATGGTCCTAACTATAAAGGCTGATTAAAAGTGCTCAGGCATTCACAAACACTGAGGTAAGTGTTTGTATGGGGGTTTATCTGGTTCTTGAAATAATGAATTAGTCAACTTAGACGTGTTACATGTGGTGCTTTAGGTATCAAAGTTAGATGTAAGTTACTTTTATTTTTAATTTGCAGTCTCTCACCTCTATAGATGCACTTCCTATGACTTGCATGCTGTCAAGAAATGACAAATAAAAACTGTGTGCAATGAACTCAGTGTGTTCCCTGGTAAAAGCAATGCTAATGTAACCCACTGCCAAGGACAGTGAGTGACCCATTTTTTATGTTTTGTATTTTACTAACAGCTGTATCGAGTAGTTTTTATTCCAATTGTGAAAAGGTTCATTCAGTTAATGGAAACCAGTGAATGGACTACATTATTTTGAAAAAATAATAAAAACTGCAGAAATAAGTTTAAGATGTAAAATTTATTCTGTGGAAATGTGTCTAAAATTCCACTAATCAAATACGATTAATTTACAGCAAGAATCCACAATGGTTTAATGTGTAATACATTTTTAGGGATAATTAAATATAATCAGGAACACATTTTTAATGCATAATAGAACCAACAGGATAATTGAAGTAATGGACCTGATAATATGAATATAGAAATAAGCAGGTACGTGGAAATAATTTTTCAGTTTTTTTTTACTGTTGCATCCTGAATTCAGCACACTGACTAACATGTTCATGCTTCTCTCAGATTATGTGGTTGTGTGCATATGATGTGTGTGCATGGTTGGTTGCATCTGCACGTGTGTAAAGGAAACATGGCGAGGTCTGACAGGCTGTGTGGCTTCTGAGCGCTGCAGCGAGCAGACAGCCCGCGGCCTGCTGCCACCAGACGCTGCTTTCATTAATTACTAAATAAAAACAAATTGTGAAACTAATTGAAAGGAAGGATAATTCATTTCTGTCTACCAGAGGCATTATTCAATTACCTCTGTGTTTGCTCCCTCCTTATCCCTATCTCTTCATTGTGCTCTCTTGTCTCATGCCACCAATAGAAAGCTTAACAAGTGTGTCAAGAAAACATTTCAATTGGAAAACAGTGCACATAAATGACTCCAGTGTCACTGGGTGTGAATTCACTGTAATATGAATGAAGTTTTGAAACACATGCAAGTTTCTTGTGATATTTGTTATTGTGTAAAAAAGAGAAGTATGTGTGACTAAAAGCTGTCTAATGGATGCTGATCTATGAGTTATGTGTGTGAGCTTATGTGCAGTAAACGGGATGTTTAAAGTGTTAAAATGCATCACATGACGGACCAAATCTGACTCATTTTGTCCTGAGTGTCGTGTCAGTGAATTGTGGTTAATTTTGTGGCCACTGATTAAATACAAACAAAGCTGTAAGGGTACATTTTAAGGAGGATTCCTTTTCATGCAGGATGATTTTGCCCATTTTTCTGAGTGAGATTGTGTTTTTATAATCCAAAACACTCACACAGGCCACGCATAAACACACACTGGTTTCCACTCTATAGCTGGAAGAGAAGAACCCTGTGGGTGTGTTGAGCTCTCATAATGACTCTAAATATGATTTTGAGACTAAACTGTTTCATATTAGTTGTGTAATTCAGGTTACAGCAAGTCCATGGGTACTTGGTGATATCATAAGGTGGAATGTGTGGAATTATAAATGTGATGTGTGTGCTTTTGGTTGTGTGTTTGAAAAGGACTGGAGGACGGATGTCAGGAATAAGAGGACTGATACTCTAAAACTTCCAGATCAACTGATATTTGTAACATAACAGCGGGAGGACAGAGGCATTGTCGGTGTTTTAAGCTCTTTAAGAAACAAACCAAATACTTAAAATAATAACAAATATGGTCATTGTTTGTGAATAGTCTTTACCTTGAAGAAGCCCTTGCAGCCTTCACAGGTGCGTACGCCGTAGTGCTGGCAGGCCGCATTGTCGCCACACACCGCACAGGTGCCCTCTCCTGGGGGGCCGCGCTGGGGAGGCGAGGGCAGGCCGTCTCCTAGCAGAGGGCCACAGGGCCCAAGAGCCAGGGAGCGGAAGGCAAGGCTGCTGCCCCCGGCACCACGGTGAAGCTGGTACATGGGCTGCTCCAGGGGCGGACCGTGAGGATGGGAGACCGAGGAAGAGGAGGAGGAGGAAGAGGATGAGGTGCGAACAAGTCCTCCACCCAGACCCTCGTAGCCGCCGATACTGCTGCCGCTGTGGGGTGGCGAGTGCTGATAGAAATGTGGAAACCGGGGGGATTTTAGACCGCCTGTCTCCAGGCTGGAGCCCATGGAGTGGGAGTGTGACGGAGGGGCAAGGGGGTGCTCCTCCCACAGGAAGGAGGTGCCGGGCTGGGGTGGCAGGGATGGTGTCGTCGGGGTGGAGGGTGGGGACTGTTTAAAGTACATGGTGGAGGACATGGCCTCCAGGGGCGGAGCGGTCGGGTAGCTCTCCTCCTCCTTCTTGATGGTGGTCCTGTGAGGAGGCATCTGATACAGGCACGACGACTTGGGCTCATAGCTCCCCTCCACAAACACGTTGAAGCTGGGGAGGGAGGTGGTGGCGGCCGCAGCAGAGATGTCCCCGCCACCAAGGTCAAGCTTGGTGTAGTCAGAGGTCATGAGGTCAGAGCTGTAGCTGTCGCCCTGGTAACCAAAGGACTGGCCTGAGTAGGCTGAGCCTGGAGGGACGGGCCCGTACTGAGCCTGCACACAGGGCATGTCTGCCAGGGAGACAGAACACACACACACATTAGAGCTGCGTGGCACATCAGACCACAAACATTTCAGTCAAAAAGCATTTTTGTGTGTTAGTAGAGTTCAGCCTTACGGCAACAATCATTGGTCAGAGAGAAAAGTTTACGGAGTTGATTTAACCACTGATTAAAGCAGAAAAGCAGAACTTACAGAACAAGGTAAGAGGAACAATCTGACAGTAAATTTATAGGACACAAGCGGACTCTATTTGCAGCTCATGCACACAAGGCTCATGCTAAACAGAGTCCACAATTTGACAGTAGATATCACTGCACAGCTCTATTGGAACAGGCAGTTTTAAGGTGTCTGAGATTTCACAATGTTATAAAACTTTTCTGAATGCACCTTTCAAGGTCTTTATGAAAAACGTTGAACAATTTTTTCCATTTGCTGCCATTTACTCAATTTCCTGCTTTAACACTTCTTGGACTCCAATGAATAAGTAGAGGAGAATTTTTTGGAGCACGCACACACAACCTCAGACTTCCACAGTTAGTTCAGTTAGAGAAGCTGCATATCATCCGTGCGCTGTTCTGAGGCCAAGCAGTCAAAGCAAAGATCCAATCCATTCTACAAACTGAGATGCTTGTGATCAAAATTGTGTGTGTGTGTATGTGTATGTGTGTGTGTGTGTGTCAGGGAGAGAAAGAGTGTGTGTCAGCACTCTGGTTAGTCAGATGGCAAAGCAGATGAGATAACATTAAACAATAATGGAACCCCATGGTGGTGCTGGATGCCTACTGAACACACACACACACACACACACACACACACACACACACACACACACACACACACGCACGCACACACACACACACACGCACACACACGCGCACACACACACACACACACACACACACACACACACACACACACACACACACACACACTCACTGATATTTCCTCTACCTGCTGCAGACGTCGGTATGTCTTCAGTACCCTCCTTGATTTAATTCAGTTACAGTCACAGCAGCGCGTACACATGTCTTATCAAACCCCTTACGTAATTCACTCCACCTGCGTCTCGGTGAGTAAATCTGTGTGTGTTCAAGGCATGAGTGTCAGCGCAGCCAGGTTTTTGGGGTGTTTGCTACTAGTCGCTCTCGAGAGCGGAACTGTCAACACATTGACGCTCAGCATGCGCGAGCTCTGCCGTAATCACCCTCGTCCCTCGCGCGTCATGTTTGTTTAGTCAAATACGGGACATGTCGGTCCTGCTGTTGTTCGGCCACACAGAAATACCGTCATCCACTCAGGCTCGGCTTGGGAATGACTATTTTCTTGTTTCTTGAGTTTATAAAAACTTGAAACAAGTCCCATTAGGCAACTTCGAAACATCCTCAAGTTTATCCCTTCTTAAATAAGGCTAACAACAATACACGTTTTTTTCCTTCTACATCCTGCAACGTTTAGTTAGCCGTGCATACCAAATACAGACATGGAGGAGGAAAACAATTGAATAGCTATTTTCACAATTAAATTATAGCCTACCAGTGGGGAAGAGAGCGTTTTGGCTTTTAGAGGCTCGAAAAGGTGACTTAAAACGTAAAGAAAAGAACAAACAAACAAAAAACACGAGATGCACCTAACTATTCTGTTATTTATTAATTTCTTTACTGAACATTTCTGTGCAGACCTAAATTTGGTCTTTTTTGTGTTTTAATAAACAAGGTGAAAAAAAGCTATCCTCTCAGACTGGACTTGGTGGGAAATGTATGTTCTACAATATTTTACAAGACATAAGTATTAATGTTCAGGTGGTTTTTAATTCACTCTTAAGCCTATCAGACATTGTGTTTACACACAGACCTGTAGTGTATCACTCAGTGGGAAAATCAAACTGCCTTTTTTAAATTGAGGATATGAGTCAAGCTGAGGGTTTACGATTACTTGACGTCATCGATTTTTTTTTTTCTCCTACAAGTGACCAGCTCGTCAACCCACGTGGAAAAACACATATGCAGCATTATTGGTGTCATGGGGTTTTTAGTGGGCTACACCTAAAGAACTGATTAAACATCAGAGAAGAAGAAAAAAAGAGACAGAGAAAGAGAGAGAGGGGGGGTACAGTGGTGAACTTTGTGGCTTTTCGTGCTGTGTCAGTAGGTTAAGCCTCAGGTCAATGGTGGGCATTAGTGTGTGTGTGCAGTGTGGGGGGTTTACTTAATGCACGCACACGCACACACACGCACACACACACGCGCACACGCACACACACGCGCGCACACACACACACACACACACACACACACACACACACACACACACACCTTTAAATAAAGAGGTTTTCAGTTGAGTTGATGTTCCTGATAAGAGATGAAAGACATAAGACAAATGTAGTGGCATACTGTCAACATACACTTGACAGCTGGAAGTTTCTGCCATTTGTATGGACTGTGATGTTTGTCTCTGTGTGTATCAGGTGAGGAAAGACACACTCACACACCCACACATATATATTTTCATCACTTAGGATGTTCAAGATGTCAACATAGCCTGTATATGCTCATTCTGCCAATAACATGCACCCTCATCCTGAGAGGAACCTGAAAAACCACTTGTGCCTCTGCAAACGTCTCATCCTCTTTGCTGCTTCACTTTTTGGTGGTGTGCCTAGCCATCACTCTGTAACACACACACTCACCCATGCTCACAAGCGTGCACTCTTGTCACACACTCCTGAGTACAAATATAACTGTATCAGTGGAGCATCTTTTTTTTTTATACCACTTAAGCAAATCTTTAGGGAGCTTTCTACACCACAACACCACCATTAGATTGTATTTATTATACATTCATGCAAGCAGCTGTTTGTGTGTGTTTGTGTATGTGCAGGCAATAGGACAGACAACCCAAGCAGAGTCAGACACAGGTGGTGCAGCAAAGTGAGGCAAAGGAAAACAGTCTCTAACCTCGAGGTGTGCATTTCAACTGGACAAACTGCAGCTGTTCCAATAACTGAGCGCGCTTGTTCATTGTCAGAATGCCATAGATCTAACAAATAAAAACATGAAGGTGCACACATAAATACAACAGCAAAATATATTTATTTCATTAGATAAATTAATTGACATCAGCGGCTTGACACAAATACAAACACAAAGCACAAATATAGCCTACTTATAGCCGATGTTTAAAATTTTTATTTAAACTTATTTTGGCGGGATTGATATGTCCTATTTAACCTTATTATTTAATGAAATAATAGACAACTGAAATAGTCCTATTCAAGTTCTAAATGAAATTATATATTAAAAGAAAAATCTGAAACACTACATATCGCAAAAAGTCGTTCTGTTTTTGCCATAAAAGCTTTAAGAGGCTGTTAAGTGATTAGGGTCTGTATACTAAGGTGTGCCTTATGTCTTCTATTTCTGAGCGTTTTTCTAATGATTGAAATGTCAACACAGTCAGCACTTGCCTGCCAGAACACAACACACACACACACACACACACACACACACACACACACACACACACACACACACACACACACACACACACACACACACACACACACACACACACACACACACACACACACACACACACAGACACGGGCACACGAACTGAGACTCACGCGGCCATGAGAAAAAAAACACCAGCAGCATGTTCATGAACCTTTATAATCCGTAATGATTTGCTATTACATGTTAATTCAATAGAGATCAAAACGGAAAATGACTTAAAATATGGCATATTATCCACTTTAAATTCCGTGTTTATTCTTGATTTTAGACTTTTAGAGGCTTTAGTGCACTTTAAAAAAAAAAAAAAAAAAAAAAAAAAATGTGCCCGAAAACGGATCTTAGTTATATTTAGCCTATACTCCAAAGGCATCGTCTTGGAAAGAAAGAAAGTCGAAGAAGAAAGAAAGAAAGAAAGAAAGAAAGAAAGAAAGAAAGAAAGAAAGAAAGAAAGGAAGACAGAAATAATTGATACTTTCAATGAAGGGCTGGAGTGTGTACCTGGTGAAAGAGCCTCGCGCTGAATGGTGCTGGGTGTCCGGGGTTGAGGGGTGGTGTGGCTGCGGCCGGAGGACTCGGTGGGCGTCGCAGAAGAAGTGTTCGATCGCCTAGGCTCCGAGCTCGACTGGGCGCGCTCTTCCGAACCTATGTCCGGAGGAGAGATTTCTTGGTTTAGACAGTGATTTGGGGGCATGCAGCATAAAAAAATGTGTATACCAACATCACCGCTCAGCGATCAGTCTATCAAAATAAAAACGATCGGGCACCAAGAGGCAGAAGGTATAGGTTGATTTTTTTATAATAAAAATATTCTCCAAAACTTGTCCGGAATATTTTAAGTGAGATTTGACTTTCAACATTCTTTACATCTTTCTAAAATACCACATATTTTGTCACAATTAAAAAAACAACAACAGAAGAATAAAAACTTTTACACAATCTACAGTTTTGTAAAAGTGAAAGTGTTATCTGAGATATAAAGTTGGGATGAAAACAGTCAGATTAAAGATGAAAGGGCATGCAAACCACCGTGCGCACAGCTGAACAAGCAACAAAACGAGATGCAGGTCCCCACAAAGAAATAAATCATTGCAGATATTCATGCCATTTGAGAGAAAAACGACGTAGAAGGAATGTTTTCCAATAAAAATATAACATGAGCCATGAGTTAGACAATACATATAACACTACTGAGGAGTTTAGATCGTATCCAGACTTGTGCTTACGTGGGCGATAAGTTTCATTCTAACACTAAGCTGCTCTCAGTCCGTTTTGAATTTAATTTTGCGTCATAAAAGAAAATGCAACCAGACCAAAAACTGTACAAAACTTCATGAAAATACAGACCTACAAAAGTGACCACTTTTAAAAACGCAGTGTGAGCAAGTGCATCCAGCCCATCGCTTTTCTTGCCTCTGATCAGGATAGTATTCGCTCGCTCAGGGTTCATCCAGAGGGAGAGATCAGTAAAGAACTTTGGGATAGTCGGAACTGTGCGCCCTGCGCCTTCGACTCCTTCTTTCTGCAGCAAGGCGCACTGTGGCCGAAAGATTTCAAGGCCCAGAGCGCCCCCTTTCTGTCACACAGCCTCTTTTATACTCTCTCTCTCTCTCTCTCTCTCTCTCTCTCTCTCTCTCTCTCTGTCTCTCTCTCTCTCTCTCTCTCTCTCTCTGAGATACGGTCAAGACACCAGTCTATCGTCCAGTATGCATCTCAGTACTTTGTGTTGACAAGCCACAGCTCCCATTACCTGTCATAGCACCTGCAGCCTGCTATCGCCTCTTATCTTTGTGTCAACAACATTCGTCCACTTAGTGTTAAGCATGCAGCCACTTTTCTTCAAACTCTCACTATCTCCAAATCAATTCTAAGATGTAACATTGAACCTGCAGGAACTCTTTTGATGGTTCCTTGGTAAGGATACGGCTTTTATACAAATGTAATGCATCACAAAGCTCCCAAACACTCTGGGAATGAAGAAGTACTTAGTGGTTTTATAGCTAACAGCAGACAATATAATATATTCTTTGATAAAAGCATGAATAACTTTTTTTCTTACATAAACTTAAAGAGTTTGATGCGTAAATGCGGTCTTGCCCAAACCACTGTGCAGGGTTAAAAGAGTGATGACATTCGCTGTGAAACTGTATTTTCTGCTTAATGAGACAATCAGTCTGTGTTTTCCCTAAATGAGCACACGGCTCCATTCTCGCTTTCTTCTTCTCAGGCCGAGCCGGTCAGTGGGGCTCTGGCCCTGCGCGCACCGGTAACCAAGAGAACGAAATAAGAGCTGCAAAGCACGCTCCCCGGAGCGCCGGTAGCCCCCTCGCACCAATAGCCCCGGACAGCGCGGAGGCTTCAAGCAAACAGAGACAGAGAAAAGAGAGAACATAAAGGAGAGAGCAGAGAAATATATGAGTACTGTAAATCAGCCCTAAGAGGGAGACTGTCAGAAGCGCCTGAGTGCGCGTCTGCGTGCGCGCGTAAACCTGGGTTTGTGTGAAAGGCAGAAAGGTAAAATCAGCATTTACAGCAGTGTGGAATTCTTTCTTGTATCACAGTTTAGCAGCTGCTACAAAGCCCACTTGTCACGAAATGTCTCCAGGATATAGGAAATTTCACAGAAGGCTCCATAAATTGGTTGCGGCTTCACGGTGAATGGATAGGGTGTTCGTCTTTCGATAGATCGGAGGAAATGCCATTTTCCTCACAGAGACACAAGAGTGTGAGAATACTGACATTTGCGAGTGGACAGCTCAGGCTTTATTCATTATAGAGTTTGGATTTACACCCTATGATTCTTAAATCCTAACATGGGATGTGCCAAGAGCCAAACAGAGTTGATAATCATAATGCTACACGGGTTAATCTGTCAAAAAAGTACAGCAGTACTTAAGGACGTTCACTGTCTTTGACATAAAGAGAAGCACGCCCACTTATTCCCCAAAACAGACACATCATGTAGCCTAAATCATATACACCGTCCATTAAAAACACATTCAAACCACAAAATCCACAATGATGAGGTGAAAAACAACACATGGCGTGAAATCAAAGAGCTTTAACTCTGTCTCTCGCTGTCAGCTCCAGCCTGAATGTAGGTTAGACTATTCTCTAGACCATTAGTGCTTCTGACTCCACTATTCATTGTGTGACTCTGAGGCATCTCATTTCCATGACAACCAGAATGGATATGATACCTTGTTCCCAGCACAAATTAAATTCAAAATCAGCTTTATTTGCTCCCGGAGAGAGAAAGAAAACACACACACACACAAACGCGCGGACTAAATATGAGCAGCTGTACACGTGTTGGAGCGAAACATATCAACAGGTTGGACTCCCGAAGTTGAACATACTAGACACAAATTGTGATATTTAAGTATAAATACAACACAACAAGTGGTTAAAGACCTGCATATGGAAAAGATAGGACTAGACTTCTCATTCATTCATTCATTCATTCTTTCATTCATAGTTTTCTTACCTGTCTGCTGTGGCGGTTCCGTCTTTACATGTGGTAATAACCTCGCATAAAGTATCCTATTTCCATCCAGAATAATCACAACGAGTCGAAGAAATAAAGAAAAATAGTTTAAAAGCTATCAACAGTGTTGCTGGAGGAACGTGACGCATCGGCGAGAAATAAAAGTTTCTTGCTCTCCTTACTTTCTCTTAAGTTAGCGAAGTAGTTAAAAAATAAAAACTCCCAGGTAAAGGAGTTGGTCTGCGTCCGTTCTCGTGAGACGCGAGTGTGTCATGAAGTGCTGCTGGGTGCTTTGCAAAGTGTGGAGTTGTAACGCAGCTTTGTTTATGTGCGCCGTCTGAGGCGGAGAAAGTCAAATAGTGCATTTATGTGGGCTCTCTTCCACCTAGAGCGGCTGGTATGCGATACGTCAATGTGACGCCATGGGAGAGGTGACGTCACTCAAAGTAGAGCTCCCTCTCTCTCTCTCTCTCTCTCTCTCTCTCTCTCTCTCTCTCTCTCTCTTTCTCTCTCCGTACAGTACCAGAAACATAAGCCTCGCGCTCCGTGCCAGAGAGAGAGAGGTGGAGAGAGGATCAGAGAAAGCGAGCGGGAGGGACGGTTGGTTTGATGGTTAAAGGGGAAGAAGCAGAGGGGGATCCTGGAGGCGAGCTAGGTCGATACCTGGTTATCGTGTGGTCTGCACCCCATGCATTTCCAGGGTGTTTTAGTCCACATTTTACTCTAATCATTATTATTGAGAGCCAGAGTTTAAAACTTATTTTTTAAATGCATTTGAAAAACTTGAATTGTCTTTCATTAGTGACAAATTTAAAAACAACAACTTTAATGTCAGATAATATTGAAACCACAGGCCTTAGCCTTAAATCAGGTTATTAAGTCAATGAAGGACTTTGAGGGTATTCTATTTAAGCATATCTAAGTTACAGTTACTGTTACAGACATGCTGATTGGTAATAATTGGAAACAGCTTTCAGTCCTATATTTCTAGGAACAGCTAGGGCATTCAGAACATGTGCCATGAAATCTCAGACCTCCAGGGATAAAAACACATGTGACTGCATAGATAAATTATCATTTAAATATACCCTCTTGATTGACATTGTAACATTTGTTAAAGCGGTCTTACTTTCTATTCTTTCTTCCAACCGTTAAAGAGTGAACACCTGACAGTACAGGCGAGCATACAGCAGGGTGGCTATAGCATCCTGCTTTGATAATCCTGGCTACATTATGTTTGATTCTTTTTCAAATCTCTCATGTACTCCTTCTCTGTTTCATGTTTACCATCTTTTGATAATTAGAATACTACTGGGTCGACCTAATTCAAACCCTATGATTTTTAAGAAGTGCTCTGATGCAAGATGCTATAATATTTTTTGTTTGTTGTTGCATTTTTCTGATGTGACAACAAGAGAGGGCTAATGCTTGGCTTTATTAATAATAATAATAATAATAATAATAATAATAATAATAATAATAATAATAATAAAATTAATGATAATAATAACTCTTAATTACAGAGCCCTTTTTAAAATCAACTTACAAAGTGCTCTACAAGGACAGCAATTAAAAGTGCATTAATTACATCAATGTGTTTTGAATAAGTCTGTAAAGAGGTTCAATATGGAGCCTTTGCCTCCAGGCTGTAAATCTGCCATAATGTGTCATTTTGTTTTGACACAGACTATTGAGCAGTGCAACTAACTCTTATCAGCTGATAGAAACTTGACCTATGTTTATCAAGTGTCTAAGTCAATTCAAATAACTAACCTAGTCCAGTGTGAGGTTAAAAATATATTTAGTTTGATCATCAGATTATATTATTTTACATATCTTCTCATTACAGATTAAATCATTAATGTAACCCCCCCTAAACCAGACCACAGTGTTCTGTCTTTAAAACTTATTTTAAGAAAGTCTTTTACAAGTACAAATTCAGTTGGATTATAAAGTTATAAAGGTTTTTTTTTCAATCTAAAAGTATAAACTAAATGCTGATGGTGTGTGTACAATGGGTATTTTTTTCTCCATAGAAAAAAAGTGATTTGCTCTCTGTAAGGAAAAATATTCAAAATGTTATAAGTAACCTTTAGAGAAATCCTGAAAAAAAAGTCAATTTAACTAGAATCTCTGCATTCTGGGGTTAATCAGATATGTTCATTCAAGAGAGGAACTACTATAACAACCAGGTAAGGCAAACTGCCCGGTCGACAGCATATAAGGAGACGCCGCAGACTCCCAGTGTACACATCAAGCAAAGAATTAAAAAGGGCCACCGGAGCCTCCGAGCACAATAACTCCCAGCAGCCAATCAAGAGGCGCGTCCTCTTCGGTCAACGTCCTAATTTTGACCAATGACGAGCTCCAGGAGGTGGGGGAAGCCTTGACGCACTAGGCTCGTGATTGACGCAAGCCTAGTTGCTAAATTTAGCGCCTGGCGAGCTCCACACTGGCGAACGGAGGTAGAATGAGATAGCAGAGAGCCCATTCATTGTGCTGGGGCGGGCCCGACTATTTTAGCGTTGTGATTGTGATCCAGCCAAGCCAAATATAGTCGTAGACAGGTATTTTTAGCTGGAAAGCGTGTCCCCGTTTTCATTCGGCTAAGAAAACCTGGGCAATATAGAAAACAGTGTCAAATGAACTACGACTACAGAGCTGATACACATGTTAACCTGACACTAGATAGTAGCCTCGTTGTTAGTTTTACAGTCAGCTGTTGCCGTCAGAGAGAAGCACATGTGGGAGCTTTCGAGAGTAAATGTGACCGCCACAGGTTCCCTCTCTGCCCGGGGACAATGTTGGAAAAGCGGGGAAAGACAAAAACCCCCCCAAAAAAACCCATAGGCTCGTCAAGCAGACACAGAGCAGGTTTGTGAATGTGTTGGTTTTTGAAGCTTATCATAGCAGCACTGTTTCCCCTTCACCAGCTTGAGCGTTTACATCTGTAACGCCGGCGGAGAACAGACACTGTTGCCCGACCACTCATTTGTTTCTGCTACAGGGGGAAATTCGT